TCAAGATAACAACCTACCTGATAAGTTTGAGTATTCCCGTTACCTGTTTGCTGTATAATGTATGGATATTATTGGGAGAAGTTACAAGTTAATCACTTCTGGGAGTTAAATGTTTAAAATGGATTTTGGATGATTTTTTTCCTCGTTGAATGAGAAAAGCGGGAAAGTTTCTCTGAGTAAAGCTATCGTCCCTCTCTCGTCAAAGAGGCAGACAACATGCACGTGACAAATCGGAAGGGAAATTATCTGTTATTACGGCCTAGTATGGTCTACCTTTTGTTCTTCCAATTAGGATTATGTGAGGTTGGATAATAGATATTTCACTTCACCTTCTTGTTATCTACAAGGCATGAAAACTTAAGGACCTTATTCAAGGATCTTGCTTCTCACAAAGGGAAAGGATATTCACACTTAGTGGATATATTTTTTTTTAGTTAAACGTGTCGTTGACATGAAGATCCGGGCTATCGAGGTCCAGTTAAAAGATGTCTAAGAATGACTTACCTGTTAATTCCGAGCGTTTTCCGTCACTGATCCGCTTAGTTATCGCCGAATGGTTAGACTTCGGTGTTTTATGGTCTGTTCCTGCATGTGGTCTAGTAGCAAACATGTCTTACCCACACTTTAATTAATATCTCAAATCAAATTAAACTATGGTTGTATTGATTTAATCTTGAGAACATGTTTTTAGCCATTGGGTCCTTGTTTTCCATTTAATATTTTGATCAAATAGGTCTTTCAAACCAAATATATGTTATCGATAGATTTAATTTGTTTAAAAAAAAATTTTAACTACAGGTTCTTCGTCCGATATTTAAGATTGGCTAATTTGTAGAAAATAAATTTAGCTAGTGATGAAGTAAAAATTTGCAAAAAAAGTGAAATGGTACAAAACTTTATTACACCTAGTTATGAGTTGTTGCCCAGCAATTTTTGCCTGCTCATAAGAATGTTGTAACAGCTTTATTCAAACAATTCAAGGAGACGGAACCATACATCTTCACTCGTTTGAATACTGGTACTTGTAAAATAACACTTTTTACTTTTTTTTTTTTAAACAAATAATAAAGAGCGCTTTAAAAAACCTCGGCCGTGAAAAAGTCTTTGCACGTTAGAAACCTTCTATTTGGTGCGTCAAATCTGTGATTGATTGTTAACACTGCGCCAGCTAGTACTGTCACAGAGGGATCGTTATGCACTGAAAACCAAGATAACATGGGCAAGGGAGTTCATGTACAAAGGCATAAAGATTTAATGGCAAAATATAGTACATAATCGGCGGAGCAGGAGTGAGGGAAGGAGGAGGACTGTTTGAACAATAAGGCACTACACACAGACGAGTAATTTTCGGCTTTTTGCTATAAACAGAGAACCAGTTGCTTGTGAAACCATAGGTAGCGGAGCGATTTGGGTGAAATGGAGGTAACCTCTATGATATGTTGAGATTCCGGTTTTCCTTTTGACATGTGTTTTTTTATTTTTGTTTTTCAAATTTTCCTTCGTTTGTTTTACGTCTTTCAAAAAAGGAACACAAAACGAGTCCATATAGTCATATGGAAGGCGAGAACTGGTACCGACGCAATATTTACTTTCGGTGTGCCAGTTGTCTAGACGACCAACGATGAAGTATTGCAAAATTGAAAATAGACTGAACTGTGTCCTGTACTTGAAAATGATCAATCTTAGAGACAAAGGGTGCGTTCCTTTGGGAGGATCCGGATTAGGATTTGTGATCCAAGATCACACATATCACGATGCAGTAAAGGAACGGAGCTTTAGTTCATCGGATTTGTTACTATGACAGCAGGCGCGAAATTGTAGAGCGGGTCCAGTAAGGCTTTCCTTATCACAATTAGTCCGGAGGACACTTGTATAATTAATCACTGGCCTGATCAAAGCATTGTAATAAAGTAATCTTTGTTTAAGGGGAAGATGATTGGTAATTTTCTTCAACAAGCCGATGCGCTGTGTAACTTTCTTACAAACAGTCGTAATATGCTCAGAGAAAGTTAGCTCCTCATCAGTCTCAAGACCTAGCAGCTTAACGTTCATAACATTAGTTAACAAACTGCCGTTGCAAGTAATCTTCAGGTTATTGTTTACTTGGGTCGAGAGTCGCTTTCCCTTCACGGTGAGGACCTTGGTCTTTTTTTCGCTGAGTGGAAGCCTGTTGGCCAATGCCTAGTTAAAAACTTCTGATACAAATGTGTCAAGAGATTCCTGCAGTCTTCCGACGCTGCCACAATCTGCTGACGATGTGATTGTAGCATCGTCTGCATTAAGATCGATTTCAGAGGAGCTGACATGAAGCGGCAGGTCATTAATAAAAACTGTGAAAAATAAGGGGCCGAGTATACTGCCCTGAGGAACCCCATGTTTCATAAGCGCCATGTCTGAGACGCAACCACCCAAATAGACAAGCTGGTGTCTGTCCGCCAAATAAGACTGGTTTATTAATACTCTTCATATCGCGCCTGTTCTTTCCTGAGCCAGTCAGTGTTCTTACTGTCTTCCATATTCCTGTTGAATTGCCCCTATTTTCCTCGAAGGCATTGCAGAAAAATTTTCTTTTTGCGCTCCTAATCATTGCAACTGCTTAATTTCTTGCCGCTCTGTAATTAGACCAATTATCAGTATTATTGGAACGCCTCGCGGTTATTAGGCAATTATCTCTCAGGTGTAGCTGTTTCACGACAGAGCTAGTCGTCCAAGGAGCATGGACGGCGCGCTTTACACGCTTTTCACGCTGGGGGCAATTTTCATCAAGTACGCTATTGAAAATTGACTTCCAAGAGTCCAGCATATCATCAATCTCATCAAATACGAATACTCTATCCCAAGGGGCCTGACTCAGTACTTCTTTGAATCGGTTCTCGTCGAATTGCTTCATGTCACGATATCTGATATTCTGATTTTTCTAAATGCTACAAGATGCGCGCTCGTTGTTATATTTGCGTACAGCAAAATAGGTACGTGATCAGAGAGGCCACAGTTGAGAGTTGGTATATTCAATATTCGCTGAGGACGATTTGAATAGATGTGATCCAAACAAGTACCGCTAACAGGACAAGGTACCTCATTGACTAGCTGCGTGAAATTCATACCGTGAACCGTTTTAATTAACCGATGTTTATTAAAGCTCTTCTTATTTCTTCCGTCAATATTCACATCGCCTAAAAATGTTGTCTCCTTATTCGGCGAGTACACACGTTCGAAATTTTCCTCCAGAGATAAATCATCAGCTTTGGTGTATGAGAGTGGGCGGTAAATACTATCAATCAATAAAGATCGTTTCGATTTAAAAGGACAAACTTCGAGCCAAATGACTTCAACTTCTTGATTTTCCAGATCAGTTCTACGTATAACATTCAGGTTATCGTTTATATAAGCCATGACACTGCCACCACTGAGATTTCTTTACCCTATCTCTACGGTAGATAGAGTAACCAGGCACCTCAAAGAGAGTATTCGGCACGTTCGACTTCAGAAATGTTTCATTTAAAAGCAAAACGTTAAACTGAGGTTTACCAAGTTTTCCCAAAAGAAACAGTCTTATCTGGTCAAATTTATACAATGTCAGATGATTAACATTCCAATGCCCGATCCGAATGTTCTTTTCGTCCAGCCCTACGTCAAAATTCTTTGTAGAATTTCGTCGACAGAGTCGCAGGAGGAAGTCGGACTCGTTAAAAGGTCCAGTGAGTAAGCAAGCCAGTTCGTCTCGATTCGTCGGATTAAGTCGAAGAAAAACTTGAATCTTATGGCGAATTCAGCAGGTTACCCCTCTCCATCGGCCCAGAATTTGTAGAAACATCGTTTGATAACAGCAGCAAATTGGCCGTGAGGGCCAAGTTCAACAGTCAGACTGTTATGACCATTTTCTACTGGTCGCCATTACAGACGAATCGGCAGATTTACGCACCGAACGAGAAGACCTCATATAACTCGGACCAGAAATGATTTTAGCCTCAAAAAGACCTTCCAGACTTAAGCCAGCAATCTTGCGAGTGCATTGCAGTGGATCTTGATGAATAGGTAAATGATGACGGAGCGACGAAAGTCAGCCACCGTGACGCCATACACGCTGTCTACCTGCATTGAGAATTATTTCGAACGTATTAAACCACTCTACATTGTTTCAGATTTTTAAGGTCATTTCGGATGTCAAGAACTACAGTCAGCTGTTTGGAACGCCTGTTTGCTACTTGCCTAGGTCTGCCTCATGCATGGACAAAGGAATGGAGGGAGACCTACCATTGACTTACAGAAGTAGGTATTGATTACGAAACGGATACTTGGGAATGCCTGTGATCAGTGGTCGATCGATTTAATATTACAAAATCGATTTTATTTCGTGTTTATCGCAGAATTTGGGGAGCGATTGCCAACAATTCTTTTAGTCAATATATGAAGTACCTACTTGTTTGAAATTGAGCACCGCCAGGCAAAATGATTAATTTCGGATCCTTCGCCCAATGGAACGCGTTGGATCAATAATCCAATAATCCGTCTTTAGATCGGGCATATCAGTGATCCGATGAAACCTTGTTTAGAGTGAATTTAATAGATCACTGATCTGAAAATGGATTTGCTCGAAAGGAACGCCACAGATCAGAAATCCTGATCCGGATTCTCCCTAAGGAACGCACCCTAAGTACGTCATGACTCTGGTAATGTTCCTTTCAGCTAGCGGCGCTACTGTTTTAAAATGTGCCGTAATTATGCTCAGTTTTCCAAATCATGCCAAAAATGACACCAGCACAACCTATGAGGAGATACCCCTGCCTTAAGATCACACGCGCATGCTCAGTTTATCAGAGGTCCGCCGAGACCGTGTACCCATGACCAATCAGGGCGAAATCATCACTGTATTTGCATATTTCTGATTCGACAGGTAATTGATAAACATCCTTGAGGTATTCTCTTACAATGTTGTTGATGTTGTCAAAATTTGTTTCCGAGTGACTGAAAGGGCAATTTTTTTTTTATTTAATTTGCGTGACAGCACATGGAGACGATTTATGCATGGGTACGTCTCTGAAAAATCTAAGATGTTTAATTATCGCCATAGTTGGCGTCTCTTTCATGAGTACCATGGCGATGTTTTTCTACTCTTCAAACTTCTGGAGGGGAATGAAAGTGAGGGAGAAAGATGAGCAAGAGGGCAAGGAAGACACTCAAAAATGGTTTACTACTACAGATCAAGCTTACTACTCGGCGTTTATTGGTGATTCCCTCAAAGGGCCGTCGACACCCTCCGACGGTATCAAAGAATATTTACCTCGAGTAAATTTGCCCCTCAAGCATTCAACACAGATGCCCACTGTTAACGTTTCAGTTACAACAAGCACTGATACTGCTGAAAGTCTACCTACTGAACGGATTGAAGATAACGAAGCTCGGCAAAAAGGTAGTTCAAATAAAAACGTAAGTGAAGCAAGGAAGACTATTGATGCAAGTCGTGAGAGCGATTCAACGTACCACGAAGAAACTGCGTTCTGCCCAAAAGTTTCACAGATTCATGGTAAGTATTGGCTATTATTTGAATTTAATTTTCTTGAAATTTCAGTTGCGTCCATTTTTCACCATAAGGACTTAACTAATTTGTTTGAATCAAACTTTAAAATTTATCTTCTGTGATATCGTGACAATATTTAACAGACGAAGGTTTTGAAGTGAAGGAGGAACCGTTATATTGAGCGTCATAATAGATTCGCGCTTTCACGAGAAATTTAACATCCAATATACATCGAGATATCATGGTACTTGACACAAAAGGGAGTCAAACTTTTACACATCTTTACAACAGTTTGCTTTACAGTAAAGACGAAGTCCTGTGTAAACTTACCGGTAAATATCTACTAATTATAATGCATAATTTCTCAGATTCTCGCACTCTGATTGGTCGAAACAATCGCTAAAATATAGCAGGGGGGCTGAATTTAAAAATGGTTGCATTGAATTTTATTTTGTCCATGTTTTTTGTATTGTTTTTGTTTTTTGTAATATTCTTTTTTTTTTTGTCCATGTATTTTGTCCATAGACAGAGAAAACAAAATTTTATTCCTAAGAGCTCAAAAGATATTAGGTTTGGAGTAACACTTTTCAAAAGTAGCACAGCAAGTTATTCCTGATTAAATTGAGTAGACCTGTTAAATTCTTGTGCAAAGTGGCGGCTTGCCTCAACACAAGTACTCCAAACAATTGTGACAAATTACATGCAGAACTTTCTTTACTTTCAGAATGGTTAGAAAAGAAAAGACAAATTTGCAACAGAACTTGAAAGCATCAGACCAATCAATTATACAAAGACAATTTGCTCATTGCTTACAAAATACCTTGCAATATATGTTATATGTGATAAAATGTTAGAGTTTATGTTCACTGGCATAAATATCTTGAATCAGAGTCATTTTAGACTGATCTGCTTTGTAAGGGTTAAAATGACTCAGAGAAAGGTCCATAACATATTTATTCCCACGAACATAAACTGCACTACTATTATCATCATTTTGGAGGGTATTGAGAAATTAAAAACCAAAGAAACACAGTCTGAACAATTGAGCAAGTATCTGAGCAAGCTAAAACCCATTGTACCTACAAAATGTGCCACAATGTATGACAAAGTGACATTAATATGTGTTATGTGTTTAATACCAACTATGGTTTATACCATTGATTCAGGTGTATATATAACTTACACAGAATGTCCTTTTTTTTTCCTTTCTTTCGGCAACTGAAATTTCATTTCATAAATTTAGATGGCTCAATGGTGTATTGAAAAATAAGCTTAGCTTGGAACCCTGACTGGAGTATGTTAGTGTTTCAAGGGTAAACAAGTGGTTTGAGGAAAATGTGAGGATTGACCATAAAGTGTGGGTCTGGGGCAAAAAACAGTTTACTTTAAAAAATTGGAAAATGAAAAACAGGGTATTGAAATTGAAATGAAAAAATCATTTAATAGGAGTTGAAGGTCACAATGAAAATTTGCCAACAGTTAAGAATCAAGAAGTTTTCTTTTTCCTTTTTTTGTTATATTTAGTGTGTAACTGAAGATCAAGTTTAATTTGTAACAGTAAAGAAACTTAATGTGGATTTGATTTTTTCTTTATTTCAATTTTAAAATTAGAAGGTGCTTTGATTGTAAATGTAACACAAGTTAGAATGACTGATGTAGAAAAGGACATGTCTAGTTGGGTCAGTGAGGGAGGTTGCTGGAAACCTTCGAAGTGTAAAGCCAGGGTTAAGGTAAGATGTTGTCTGTTCTTTGTTTGATTGTAAAACTAAATCAAAAGAAATTGCGACAGGCTCTCTAGACAAGGATATATATCATAGGGAGATGATGTCATCCAAATAGTATGTCAGTTTTCAGGCACAGTGTGTGCAGCAAACAAAAACAAAATGTGATTTCAGGTTTGCCTTTGACACCCATGGGAAATGTTCTCTATCAGCCTAGACTGAGCAGGTAGTGTTGTACATTGCTTGACACAAGTTAGTTCCAATTGTCTTGGATTTGAGAGATAACTAACACTTGCAATGCTGTAACACTGTTCTCAGAACCATTCAAGCTCTTTAAATACCTGTCAAAGTAATTTTTTGGGAAAAAACACTATTCTCCTGGATACTTCAAGTGCTTAAAATAAAATTGCTGCTTCATCCTTTTATATAAGAGTGACTAAAATCTAATTTCCCCTCACAATACCAACCCTTAATCAAACACTATGGTCATGAGAATAAAAGAAATGATCAGCAACTGCAGAAGCTCTTGATTGTTAAACAAATTCTCCTTGTCTGCACCAGGAAATGTATAGAGAACAGTATGGAGAAATATGTTGATGTTAAAGTGTAAACAGTTAAAGTTTTATTGAACATGTGTTATTTAACATGTATTTCATTGGATGATCTCTTGCCAGATGTCCCTCATTATTCCGTACCGCAATCGTTACGAGCAACTGTCTATCCTAGCGAGACATATACACCCCATGCTAAAGAAACAGAATTTGGACTACAGAATAATTGTCGTAGAGCAGGTCTGTATTGGGAACTGTTTTTTGTTTAGTTTAAATTAATAGTGATATGTTTGTGGTTCTTGTTGCTTTCTGGGATGTTAAATGGGTCTATAACAATCATTATCTGATGTGTTTCATTTGCATAAGACTTAAAGCTGTTTTATCAGCGTAAGTGTCTGCTAACTATGGGAAGCTATCCCTAATTTAAGCCTTAAGTTCTTCACATTGTTTATGGTCCTTTGTGCATGCCACTATCTCATATACATGTTGCACAGGTATGGTGTCAACTTCCAGAACCATAAAATACCTTTAGAAAACAACCCAAAGAGCGACAAGCATCTAATTTCTCCTTACAAGATCACCTCTGATTCACATATTCAGGTCACAGGATTGAATAAAGGAAATTATCATCAATTAAAGGAGCTCATGATTGTTAAACAAAGTCTCCTTGTCAGTACCATGGGAAATGTGTAGAGAAAAGAATGGAGAATGTGCAAACTGATGATGGGTTGTAAAGGGTTAAAATATATTTTAATAGTGGTTAGTTTTATTTAGAGTTGTAGTTGGGTTAGAGTTAGAGTTTCAGTTTTAAAATGGAGAGAAAATATTTTAGTTGTTGTAGCAATAAGGCATGATACATTGAGGAAGAAGGCTTTGTGATCCAAGACTCTTTTTACCTTCTGCTTGGCAAGTTTGCCCAAGCTACATGTTGTTGTCTTCTAACTACTTCGCATGTTTATGAGAGTTTTTAGTGAGCTACAAACTGTTGCAAAATTAGTAGAGACATTTTGTATGTATAAGATTGTTAGTTCTATGCTGTATGTCAGACTATGATCTTGCAAAAAAAATTACCCCTTCCCTCTGATTAAAGTTACTGGTTAAGCAATGCTATGCCTTACACCTAGATTAATAAGAGGGGGTGGGGAGGGGTGGGGAATCTTGTTTATTGGATATTGATTTGTAAGAAAGGCAGGTTTTTTAGAAGGAGTACCTCACCTGACATTCTTGTGACCGTTCAAGGGTAATATGATAGTATAACTGATTAACATGCTGCATTTTTGTTTGCAAAAATTGCTTTTTTCTTGTTTTTTTTTTTTTTGCTCTTCTGTCATTTCAGCTCTTAAACCTCTTACTCTTAAGAGTAGATTCTTATTAGTAGATTCAATACCAAATTCTGCAAACCAACATCATAAGAACTGTATGGCAGACAGTAAGGAGAATTACTAATGAGATCTTGAGAGTGAAAGGGTTAAATAAGTTTACTGAATATAACAAAGCAGTAGTTTTTATTGCTACTTACCCAGGTCACATGATGAAACGCGTAATTTACCATCATTATAGCAACTTCAATTGAGTATTATAAGTAATCCAGGATTGCTTTAATTTGACTCAACTTTGCTCAGTGATTGGTGCAGAAAACTCGTGCAATCCTGTCAACCAATCAGATGCAGACTAAAATCAATAACGACTTGGCCATTCGCGTTTTCCCGCGATTTTAGCAGTTTGGGCGTTGTCACTTTTAGTTCTCATTGGCTAATGACAATTGGTTTCTGGGATTACGCTGGTTTTGGTTTTTCGACACTTTGTGATTTGGATTTATTGATACTTTTTCTCACAGGCAGGAGATACTCCATTCAACCGAGCCATATTGTTCAATATTGGCTACCAAGAAGCACTCAAGTTTGATGATTACACATGTTTTGTGTTTCATGACGTTGATTTAATACCAGAGGATTATAGGAATGATTACGGCTGCTCCTCATCGCCCAGGCATCTGTCAGTTGCTGTGGATAAATTCAATTATAGGTATGGTATTTCGGATGTAACAGAGGAGGAGTTGGCTGTTTGCAGGTTATATTTTGGATGAAAATATCAGTAAGAGTCAGGTATTCCTATACAGGACTAGGTTTCCTTTTTAACGTATGGTTTTCTTTCAGGCTGCCGTATCCGACCATTTTTGGAGGTGCTGGGTCCTTTACAAAGGACGACTTTCAACTTATCAATGGTTTTTCCAACCAGTTTTGGGGATGGGGAGGAGAGGACGACGATCTGTACAAAAGGTGACTGGGTTTTACTCGATTTACCACATGCATTTTTGGAATCACTGGTGTTCCTTGTAATCTGATCGGCTCTCACTGATGCGATTTATTCGAGAATTCTGAATCGCATCTTTTCCTAGCCAATGAAGAATCTTCACTAAAATACAACAACCAATCAGATTTCAAGGCTTGTTTAGAGAAACCAATCACATTGCAGGAAAATGAAAACAACTTTTGCAACTTTCTACGAACAAGCTCGCCACTAGATCACTAAAATATTTGTACAGACTAAAAATTCCTGTATCTGAGCGACTTCATTTTGCGATTGGACTTCGTGTCGTGCAATTTTGGTCTGAAACTATATTTTTGATTTCAGAACAAGTTGCGCTCCACTGACTTCAATTACCATTATGAGTTTTCGCTCCAGCGGAACTTCCGCGATTGCATCAGTTTTTCTGCGTCATGGTGCCCAGCTCCAGACCATTGAAAAATGCGCATTTCTCTCAACTAATGATAAAAAAAAACAGCCCAAGAGAGTCAGAAAAGACTGTGTCGCACATGACAGATGGGAATCGATATCGATAAAGAATTATCTCCACTGATACAGGAAGGTCATGCATGTGACTCTCTTTTAAGCTCGAATTTCTTTAAAGCTTTTTCTTTTCAACTGCGTCAGTTGTTTCTCTAACTGCGATGCTGTTTTGAAGCAGTCAAGGTTTTTTCTTTTTTTAGTTCTCTGAGTCATTTCGCTCACTCTTTCTGTACTTTTTGTAAGTTCCTACCAAGGACTTTGTCGAAGCAACCTTTTAGGCAAGTCTACCCGTTAGCTTTAGTTCCGTGTATTTCTCCTAAATCACGTCTAAACGAATCAAGCGTCCCGATTGGTTACTTCCTCTCCTGCGCTTGAGGTCGCTTAGATACGAATTTCTCTGAGCTTTGCGTCCTTGCGTTATTTTCCTTTGGTCACCTTAAAAGTGACAAGAATCTTATTTCTCCACACAATACCATCCCTGAATCACACGTAAGATCACAAGAATAAAGGAAATCATTACAAACTAAAGAAACTCTTGATTGTTAAACAAACTCTCCTTGTCAGCACCTTAGGAGGTGTACAGAGAACAGTTTGGAGAATACGCATACCGATGTTAGGATGCAAAGGGTTGACGAAATTCCATCACAATGTGCCGTTAAAATTTAAACAACAGGCGACGCTTGACCTTTACCCTTAGCGTAGCATTCATGACGTTTCTAGCATCGTTCCATGACCAACCCAGCCCAGCGGACTCTCCTGTCCAACCCCTCATCGTCCATGCATTGCTCAGGAAGTTTTTGTGACTGTATATGTTTGAACTTTTAGAATAACTGCCGTGGGTCTTACATTGACTCGACCATCCATGAGAGTGGGAAGGTATAAAATGCTTAAGGCATTTCATCGTCGCAGTACAGAAGATGACCCAATTCGGTACGTACTGATACTTGATGATTTGCAATGTTGTACTTCGAACCTTACACCATTCACGAAACAACTGACAAAATTCCTCTAATAGTTTGGTAGAAAACTCGTATCTCGATTCCCGTTTGACTTGGATAGAAAAAAAAGGGGGGAAAGGCCGTTCCTTTTCTAGTAAGAGACTGCTCGTTATTTTTTCCTTAGGGAGAAAGGGGGGTGAGGATTTTGGTTTACCTGATCCCCCTTAAGGCTTTGTTATTTCCTCATGATCTCCCCTCATCGAGGCAGTTGATTGGCGGTCAGTTTCCTGTAGTTATTCTTTTATACTCTGTTTGCGACGACTGATCCTTCCCCTTTCCCCTGGAAACCACGTAATTTCCCCCTCCCCCTCCCCCCCCCCCCCCCCCCAAAAAATCCTTCTTTTCCCTTGGCGGTGAATAATGGCTGATCCCCGTTTAGATACCTCTCACTTCGGCTCTGACAGCTGATGAGCGGGGGAGTTTTTTCCAACAAGACGACTAACAGTGAGTTGAGATAGCAGGAAGACACGAAGTCAAAAAACAGTTTCTTTTCAAACAAAAACGAAAAGAGTTGTTGCAGCCGCGCACGAGATGAGATCACGGCTTGTTAAAAAGGTTCCAGCTATATATGGTGGTTCATAAGAATAATTGGTGTCCCTTGGAAAAGTGGTCACTCACTTGAGGAACTTGCTTATGGGACTCGGTCGCTCAGAGAGGTTCTATTGTTGTAAAAGATGGAAAAAAAAAGAGCCTTAGATAGAGAGCGCATTTTCCCGACCTCCTAGAACCCTGTAAATCCCAAGATTTGATTTTTATTTCTCCCCTCTATCTGTTACACATTTCCTTGTAAATCAGTTACAAGAATTTGTCGTGAGATCAAGATAAGAAGTTTTGCCTGATATGTTCTTGTATTATCATTACCTGTTAAAAAGATTACCTATGGATATTATAGGGAGAAGTGACAGCTTAATCACTTCTGTTAGTTTAAGGGTTAAACTTTGTTACATCGGGGTTCCCATGAATGGGATGTTGCATGCGCACTTCCCAAATATTTGCATTTAATCTTGATGTTAAATCTTTCTCGGAACTTTCCAATCCATGTTCACATTGAAGTATTTTTTCAATCAAGAATTCTCTATGTTCAAAATGTTTCTTATTTTGAGTTTACTTGACAAATAAATTTTTTTCAATTTACACGCAGCCACAATAAACTGCAAACTTCGGTTTACCGCATGAGATCCGACGGCCTCAACTCTCTTAATTACACTGTGGAGCAATTGACAGAGCATCCCCTCTACACTTTGGTAAAGGTTGACGTGAAAGACGCTTTGGCTGAATACTACAGGTTATATGGCATAGAAGATCACAACACGTAATTATTAACAAGTCTCTGGGTAGCTTGTGAGATAATTAAAAGGGAGGATCCTGACTCATGTGGACTGGACTCTTGTGGACTGGACTCTTGTGGACTGGACTCTTGTGGACTGGACATATGAATGGCCAGCTCTGCACACTATTCCAGGCTATGAGAAGTCTAGTACGAATGGAATGGTCTCGTTTCATATCGAAACAAAATTGAGGCAAGGAGGCATTGAGAGAAACCCATTTATTTCTTGATTAAGAAACAGGATCAACAAGAAGACGGTAAACTGATTTGATACCTCGGTGACTCCGAACCTCAATAGTATGGTGGACTACTGTCGCCTTCCCTTTTACTTCACGTTTGTTACTTTATGGCTTTCTTTGGGCCTTTCCGCTCCAGCGGATAAAACTAGACTTTTCCTGACAAAATTATGGACATATCCTGTCACGACAAATGTTTGTTCCGTCTGTTGCATCTGCATTAAATTTCAAAGCCGTTGAATTCCGTCAGCGCGTGAACTTTTCATAATACCCGCCAACACCGTTTGCCAAAGGATTCCACCTGCAATTTCCAGAATTTATCCTAACTCGTTTTGCAACAGAAGACAATTTTTACCTTTCTTGTAAATTGATTTCAGTTCAATTACATGCTGGTCGTAGCTTTTACGACAAATGATCGACAAGTTTTATCACGGTTTTGTCTATTAGTCGATTTTGTCCAGTTTTTACTCGGGACACATTTTGTCGGCGGTGCGTTTGAAGATTTGCCCGCTTTGGCCAAAATTTTGTGTCTGCCTATCAAAGTTTTTGGGCGAAAAAAAGGATCCATACTAGTGCCCTCAAAACCGCAGACCGCCAGCAACGCAGGCTATGCCCGCGTTTAATCGGTGTAGGAGTTTGCTGAGTAAAGGTACCTTACAGTGAATCTACAGAAAAAATCGTGCGGTCAGCTCAAGGGGTATCTGCTTAATAGAGGGTTTTCGATCATTACATTTGTCTTTGTATCTATTTACTGAATTATTTAAAGCATATAATAGTTGTAACAATTTGTACTTACGGCTTTGTTAATAAAACGGTGATGAAGTTTGCAATTATTCACAATCAGACTCTGGAGAATTTATCAGCCTTTATTGCTTGGAGGCAAATGAACACACGATTCTGTCACGCGGTTTGCCAATTTATTTTCCCTTACAATATCCTTGACATTTTCTCTTACTCAGAAGTGAACAAACAGTCGATGTGGCTTCACGGAGGTTAACAGTTTTATGGTGATACTACCGTAGTTGCACTTTTTTTTATATCTTTTTACCTTACAGTTAATGGTTTGAACCCGGTGATAACATTTGATCGTGGGGTCTGATCGTTTGAGTGAGAGTAGTCCTGATAAGGACCGTTGTTGGTGGCGGCGACTGACGTTTTGACAACCTGAGCGGAAGTTATCTTCAGAGTCAAGTGCAGGGTTTTTGATGGGCGAGTGTTGAGTGCGCTTGCAACTGAACTATAATTCGGCTATAGCTTCACATGAAAGTGGGACTACAACATATTCTGCGTAGGCACATCGAGGTAGAAAGAAACGTAGCCGGAAAATGACCTCGTGGTAAAGAAACATTTCTCCTGCCTGTGGTGGAACTTGTACTGATACGGTGTAGTTGAAGAATAAAAGGTCAAAAATAAAGTGTACATATTGCAACAGGCTTCTCTTGCCCTAGACCACACATGATGGGACACATGCAGACTAACTTTAAGGGCGAGACGAGATGTAAGCCAAACTGTACAGAAAGGAAGAAATGTGAATCGGTTAAGATTTTAACACTGAATAATAGAACATTCAAAGTAACTTTATCTTAAGATGTCAGTAAAATTAAATGCTTTTGCACTGAGATGCAGTGTCTTTTCTGATTTTTTTTTTTTAACTTTCCGACCGTTCAGGAAATTTTTTTTCCTGAATCATTCTCGACTGTGAGCTTTATATGTAATTACCCATGAAGCCAACGGTTGGAAGTGACTCAGTAAGAAAAGGTTTTTCAGCAGCCCGGAGGGGTAAACATTTCACGTCTGGCGATGACGGTACAGTACGTCTTTTTTACTTGACACATCCTTTCAACTTCTCTCTAACGCTGACCACGAGGAACGTGGTCCTTTTTAAATTAAAACCCAGACCTCTCGCGGTCTAGTGAACTGGGAAGTCAATATGGCGTCTAATTTGAGACGAAGCAATGACGAGCCACATCTTATGTGAAGGTAAGCGCAGCGTATCACTGTTTTATTATTACAACTATGATTTATCTTTTATTTGAAAAATTTCACAGCAGCTCAAGATTACACCGGAGCATTACAAAGATACGATTTTTTTTCCCATTTTGATTCGATTTTACGAGATAGTCTCGATAAATATACTCCCACTTTTTTTTGTCTAGAAGCTTCCTCAAGATTTTGAATTATACCAGTTTCACTGTATTTTTAAGACTCGGTTATAGTATTAAGTTAAAGGAAGGACTTCTGTACTGTTTATTCAATTTTTTACCTTTCTGATAAAATGATACTACGTATTCTTCGCTTCGATCGCTCACTGATGTGAGATTTTACTAATACGAGACCACAGATTTGTGTCCACTAGTGGGCATATAATAATCTTATGATTTTGTCAATGCTATTGGGATTCGTAAATCTAAGACAATTTTAAAACTCATTTGACGAACAGTAAGTGCAAGTTTGAGATCTTTTGCAAGTTAAATCAGCTCTAATGAAAACTGATTCATGTAACTTATAACTGAGCGGAGCTCCCCTAATATAAAAAGAAGAGCCGCAGTCCCAAAGGCGTTCTATTGTCTTGCCATTGTTTTCCTTATCCAAGAAACTGTATGCATAATTTGAAGGGGCTTTAAACAAATCTTGCCAAAAGAGATCCACAATTGTGCTTGAGGTTTTGAGTTTAGCATACAGCCTCCCAGGGTTATTTTCAAGACTGAAAGTGCAGGTTTTTCCAGATTAGAACTAACCTTTTTAATCATGCAAAATGGCATACAATTTTTTTGTAGCCCTGTTTCTTGTGATGAAGTGGTTTTTGAATGAATTGTTTTCATAGTTGTATCATGGAATGGGCTTGTGTGCCATTTTCAAACCATGCATCATTTTTAAAATATTCACAAAAAGTTAGTCAGAGATACCAAAGTTCTAAGACAACACTTAAGATGAGACTCATTTTAAAGAACTTATTTTTACCTAAATTCATTTCACCACTTGAAAAATAATTTTCCAAAGTACAATGTAAAGATAAGTTTGCAGCTCTATTACAAGCATTTGTCTTAGTTAGTCAATGGAAATCAAATTTGTCTGCCTTAAAAAGTATATCTGAAGCCAGAGACATCAGTACAAATGAAGGTGAATATGATCCCCTCCTAAGTTTGTGGTTTAGGATCCTGTTCAAATTTGAAATTTTTCAGAGTCTATTTCCACAACTACTTTTGTTAATGTTGCTTGTTTAATTGCCAGTATCCTTATCTAATTTATTTCTAACAAAGGGCTAATGTTCAAATGTCAGCTTTGAAGCTCTTTACAGTGGCCAGATTACGTTATCAACTTCATTGATTAACAAACAAGCAGACTCTTGTTACTGACTTTGAAATGAAATTAACTTTGATGACTTTCCTTGTCTCTGACAAGTAAGAAATGGTAAATTTAAGAAGGTAATCATTAATCCAAGAGTTCATGCTGCAAAGTGTTGACTTTTGCTAATTTATGGACAAGGAAGTAGAACAAAAATTCAAAAAAAATTTTTGGAAACTTTGAATATCTCTCTGTTTTTCATGATTTTGTTTTACCACTTCTTGGCAAGATTTATTATAAATTTTAAAACAATTTTTCAGATTGAGTAGATTTTCATCAACACGGTTTTAATGTCTGATAAAGCCCTAAGTTATGAAAAATGTATTTAAACCTAAAGGGGAGTTCTATAGCTTTTGTCTAGGACTTTGGATCAAGTTGTAGGTGATATTCCAGTAATTTGTTGCAAGGCACAAATTACTTTGACAATGTTCTCTTCCAGGTATGTGTGGATGGGTTGGAGTAAAATGTGCCTCAGCTTGTGAAACGTGGAGTTCCCCTGCTCAAATCCTGTGATATTCCTCTTTACAAGATTTTTCCCGCAGTATTCCCAAATTTAACTTCTGCTCCATCCCTGCACAGTTTAATGGGCCAGCTTATTCAGCCATCCGCTGTTTGTAATTTTTAGCAACATGGTGTCTTTTTATTCTGATTGTTTAGGTATTCACAGTGGGGTATCACCAGGGAAGGGCTGGGTGAATTGTAACCTATTTAAAGCTATTAACCTCCTACACCCTAATGTCAAGATGCATATTCTCCATTTTGTCCTTTATACATTTTCTAAGTTACTCTTAAGGAGAATTTGACAAACACTCAAAGGAGTGTCCTAAGTTGGTGATCATTTTCTTTATTCTTATGACGTTTATGTGTAATTCAGGGGTGATATTAATTGTAACTAGAAATTAGATGCTAGTCACTTGTAGGGTCAAAGAGTTGAAGAATTTAACACTTGTTTTCTTTTGTTCTAATTGTTGTGACAATCTGATGGTGAAGGAAAAGTGGAGACGGAAAACCTGGATTAATTGGAAAGGAAATGAGAAGTTTCCTTGCTAACGATGAATACCACAGTCACCCATTTCACCACCAAAAATTCAAATTTAAACTGTCCTCTGAGTCATGACCCAGTAGGTGTCTGTCTGCTAGTTTCTCTTAACTTTCTGTAAAGTTTAAATCTAAAGGTTGTGAATTTCTTTTTCCATTTTAAGATACTTGAAAATGACTGGGAACGATGGAAAATTGGAACACACTGTCTTCTGTCCCGAAAAATGTTCATTACGTCACAACGAGATGATTCTTGCATTATGTGGCAATGAAGATCACAAAAAACCATCGGATTTGTCATCTTTAAAAGTTGCGCTCTACTCTCATCTTCAGAATGGATGGAATGCCCATTGCAATGTTCCGGATGCTCTTCCAGAGTTCCGCTTCCCGCTGGTTCACTGGGCATGCGTGTTGGGTAGAACTCAAGCTTTGAACTGGCTTCTTACAAAGCTGAAATTCAAGGCATTTGTGACAGTCGAACGAACCGGCGAAACGGGTTTGCATCGAGCTCTGAGGCTACTTCATCAAGTGGAAAGTCGCGATGCCAAGCCACGGTCTGTCAGATTCATTTGCAACAAGTTTCGTTCGATTGTTGTCAAGCTAACGGAGCAAGACCCTAGTGGCTTGTTTTTGAAAGACAAAGTTCAAGGAAATACGGTTTTCCATATGTGTGCACTCTGTATAAGCGAACAGGAATCTGTTAGTAGTGAATTAGATTACTACGACAATTGCATGAAAATCTTGCTCCAATGCGTCGATGAGCTAAAGAATACAGAGAAACTGCCCACAGATGCGCTGCACAGAGCCATCAATTCCCAAAATGACAGAGGCGAAACGATTCTTCACATACTTGCACGGAACAATTACTCCTTCCTAACGGTCAAGTATATCCTGTCCGATCATAAAGAGATTGTGGACAGGGTTAGAAAGAACCATGAACACATGACCCCGCTTGACATTGCTCGCGATCGACAGGCAAACCTCGTAGAAAAAGAACTTGATTCTGAAGGAGTTGGAATAGATCACCTTGCGCGGAATCATCCGGATTTATATCAGCTTTATACTCAAGATACTAACGATGCTTACCTTTGCGAAGACCAGTTTTCGCCTAATGGTCAAGTCACTCTTAGCACTGATAATTCTGTAACCACGGCCCAAGATTCTTCAAGGGCGTATCCTTTGCGTTTAAGTAGCTTGGTTCAAAGAGAAGGGTTTTATTGTTCGTCCTCTCCGCAGAGATCTACTTCGGAGGATAGTTCACAGGACGAGGGAGCTCAGTCTCCGTCAGTTCTTGACAGTCTTTCAGTTCCTTTGTCACAGAGTCTTGCAACGAGTACTGAAAACACTGCTGCGTATGACAGCCAGTCGACTGTCGACTCTGATTCGGAGGGTGGATCTCAACGCAACAGGAATGAAGATGACAGCGGCGTTATTGTAGTTGTCGACGAAGATCCTATACGAATGAGCGTACAAGACCAAGGTGATACATGCGTTGTTAAAGAACTCAACAATTGCACAGTTCCATCCGTCGCTAATTGCGATGAAAACGTTGTCGTAGTGGATTTTCCTTCTAGTTCAAATTCATGCCCAGGAAGTGTTCTATTTCCTGAACCTGGGTTAGCAATGGAAGAAAGAAAGGACGTGCCAGCTTTGACGGGGCGAAACGCCCAAGAGGAGAGTGCATATGATGCACTTGGTGACCGTCCATTATTTCGTGAGAATAATGTGTCCAGTGCTCTTGCAAAAGTTATTCGCGAAGAGACTGATGTTGTGAGTATGTTGGTGGCGAGACTTCAAGATAAAAAGGAACAAACCCGTGTGACTTTGCGGGCAGCGCAGCGATCGCTGATGGATAAACAGGCAACAGAGATAGCGGCCACTAACAATCTTCAGCAACTGAAAGTAGAGATGGAACATTTAAGAACTCAAAACGAACATTTGAAGCGTAGAAGGGAAGAATTGTTAGCAGAGCTTAAGAGTATAGAGGAAAGTGTGAACCATTTTGAAAAGCAGTCGCTTACAGTTCAGTCTAAGGTCGAAGAACAAGCTAAGGTCGTTGCAAGTTTAAAAGCAGAGCGTGAAAAGGCCAACAAAGAGTGTGTTTCTCTAAAACGTAAATTTACCGAATATAGCGAAGCTTTAAATGACATTGGTTCCCCTTGTGAGGGGCCAAAAACTAAAAAGGAGTGCTTTGAAAATATAGCCTCTCAGTAACATTGCCCATAGCAAGCACATTCTTGTCACACACTAGGTATTACGAGTTGTACTGAATCGGAATTGTGGTATTTACAATACATAGAGGTGAGAAAATATTAGCCGATGTTCTGTTGCTAGAGTCTAGAGTGGTCCTTCATCTGTAGCATCAGAGTGTGAAACGAGACTGAACTGATTAGCTGTCAATTGCTCTGTTGTTTCTTGATCATTAGTCCTTTACACTTAAGATCTCAGTATGTTTAATCTTCATAGTGATCTTTACATGTTTCTTAAGGTGCTGAGAAGGAGAATTTGTTAAAAAAATCAAGAGTCTCTTAAGTTGGTAATCATTTCTTTTATTCTTTTGACCATAATGTGTGATTCAGTGATGATATTGTAAGGAGAAATTAGATGCTAGTCATTGGTTTTAGTCAAAGGGTTAATACATGCTTGTCTTTTGAAGTGAATTGGGGTTTGTTCATAAGTTTGTTTTGTTTTTAGTTTCACTTAGTGTTTTTTTTTTCTTTTATTTTTTCAGAAAAAATAGTGATATTTCGTACTCGTTTTCAGACCTATCTGGTGTGTTTGTGCATTATTAAGAATTGGACCTAAATTTTTCTTTTAAGTTTGTCCAGTGACTACCTCATTACTCTTTTTCTGAATTTGAGTCAAAATTTTGAATTGTGTAAAGCAAACTTTGATTTTCTGTGGTGTCTTTGATGCTCCAGCACCGTCTTCTGAAACGCTCTGAAACTCGACCACTATCTTGGCATTTTATTGAACGTTACCATCGCTGCTTAATTTTTCAAAGGTTAATACGATATTGATGCTAAAATTTTGCGCCAATATCAAGGAGTAATTTGTGACTCATGAGTTTGGTTATTTTTGATCCGTCAATATTACAGGTCAATTTATTTTTACAATGATAAGTCTTCTAACGGAAGGGTAATAGATCTATTAAGTCTTAAAGATTACGTTACTTTCTCTTTGTCTCCGTGTTTGGCTCTCGCTAGCACGCTTAGCAGACCTAGATTTTGAGTCTGTCACGCAATTTCATAGCGTCGTCGAATGACTTCCTCGCGCTCGAAAAATCACTCGAGCCTAAAGCGCGAGCCTGCGTGGAATGAGCGTTTCACGGCTGGGTGCCTCTTGTTGCAAGTGGTCAGAAGACGGGTTGATGATGGAAATGTGTCATGACAGCATAACAATTTGGCTCAGGAAAACGCGTTGTTTTCGAAGTTGAAAGAGGTTTTTTAGTAAAAAGATTCCTCTCTATGCCTGAATTTTAGTCGCCTATTTCAAATCCTGAGGGAAAAACGATCATCAAGGAAACGAATATTTTACGAACAGAAAACTGTTAACTTCAAAAACGTGTCAGTTTCCATGGCAATGTCATCGATACTCTGTCAATGCGCATAAAATCGCCTTATTATGGTCTTGCAGACCCGTTCAAACAACAATGCACCGGTTCCCTTGGGTGAACTGAGCAGTGCAGTGCATCAGTCGCTATAAGAATTTCGCTTCCTCCGTATGTGTGACGGCTAAACTATAAAGCAGAATGGATTGGGAATTCGAAGGAGAGCGCAAATTGGTGTGTAGATTTATTTCACAGACGTGCTGTAGCTTTAGTTTTGGTGGTATTATTTGAGAACAGTAAATATCATAATTTACTCGTTAGAACGCGTTTTTATTTAGTTGAAGAGCGCCGTGCGTTACTTTGTGTTTCGCTGGAGATAATTTTCGGCTCTTTTAACATCTCTCGATAAAATTTTCCCAATTCATCGCAGAGAAAGCAGAGTCGAAGGAATTACAACTACGACACAGATGATATTATCGAAGGGAAACGAACATTTAGCGTCGAGGAAAAGCTAAACAGTCCTAAATTCACGGAGGGAGATTTCGTGCAGAAACTCACAGGAGATGGTGGGTGAAAAGAATTGCCTTGTTGAATAAAGTCATTTTATAGAAAACTTCTTTGCTTACTGTTTGTCTTACTATTGTAGAATTAAACCTAAAGTTTATACAAGAAAACGGCTTTTCCTTTCCCATGGTAATCAAACACCCAGACGGGTTAGATATGCGGTACGTATTTTGTTCAGCCTTCACGGGTTTCTGCAAATTTTCTCAGTCATTTTTCAAATTTCTAAGAGTAAGCTTATTAAAGCTCAGACTTCTCTGAATTTTACAACCATTGTAGGGTTCCACGGGAAGACTTTTCAGTAGAAGATGTCAAGAATTTTGTCGGTGAGCTTTTGAAATTATTTCAGAATGTTTACCAATTAGATGTGTGTAGTTTGAAACTGCAGATTATCAGAATCGACACATCGTGATCTCAGACCGATCCTTATGTTTATGATGGCTAGGAGCTCGAAGAATGGTGGATGTGATCGATGTCAACACTCAGCAAGCGTTAGAAATGACTTTACAACAGTGGGTGAAATATTTTACGAGTCCAGAGCGTGAGGATATCTATAATGTTATCAGCTTGGAGTTTAGCCACACGAAATTAGAAGATTTGGTCGAGCCTCCTAAAATGGTAAGCATTGAAATTTTTCCTTTTCATTTATGAGCCAAAGAGAATTGATTTTTTATTCAATTGATGCACCTCTTAAATTAAGGCCATTTTGTCATTACTTTCAGTTCTTATCGTGGTTTGAGTTTGTGTTTCGCTGAAGTGATATAATTTACATTATTGGTTGCTTGTTAGTTCTTAAATGTCACTAAAGTTAAGTAATTGTTGTTTTTTAATTTGAACGTGTTCTGTAGAGCTTCTTTCTTTTGAAAAAGTTGCATCTCGTGGTCGAGTTTCGCTGAATGGAGTGTGCAGTGTCTTTGGCACGATCTTCTCGTGGTAACTAGTTGGTTTGGAACTAGCGAAAGCGATATAAACGCAGATTTCATTCGTCACTTCGCCCAGAATACTATTTTACCCACAGAAATCGATCTAAGCTTGATGAAAAAGAACTAAAGAGGTTATTTTTTTAAGATGTCCAAGAACTGAGCCTTGTGGAAGCCCCCCTGATAACACGACTATGCCCCAACTTTCAGTACTAACCACACGCCCTCCGAAAACAAAATCTAAAACGGTGATGAAAATCCAAGTCTGATTTGTACTTGGTAAATTTGACTCCATTATGTATGTTGTTTTTCTACTGGAGCGATTGTGAGATCATTTTATTGAAGTATTTTAATTGGTGGCGAGGATCTTGTAACTAAGCCTGAAATCGTAAGGTTTTTGACTGGCTGTAGTCCATGAAACACTGCCACCACAAATTCAAGAAACCTTTTCGGTCTCGGTAAAGCAAACTGGCGAGTGAATTATAGCCGCCCTTTAAAGAGATTACTTCTTATTAATTACTAATTGTTACTAGTTTCGGTCCAGAAGCAATTGTGCGATGCTTCTCTTGACTTTTGGGTACGTTCCTTTGCTTGCAACCGCAAATGCGTCACCCCCTAGCAATCACTCTACAAGTTTTAAAATGACCGTGTGTGTTTACGTTTAATAGTTCCTTTCACGAGACCGTTACACATATTTATCCACATATTATTGGAGAATAAAGCCTGGTTCAGCTTTTTAGTGCGATTTTTTACATAGAAGATCAAATAAGTTTTAAATATCGGCAAAAAAATGCAGCGTGGCTTGTGTTGCTTTAGTTATGTAAATATGGCGGCAGGCTCCGAGTTAGCTCTTCTTTAACACCGCACGAGATCAAACGAAAGTGAAATTTTAGCCCTAGAAAGTGCGCCGATTTTTAAATGTCATCCTTTGTACTGCATTTCTGATGTTTATCTTGATTGTCACCACAAGTTTTAGACTGGAAATAATCTGCGTGCGATTTTTAGCACGGTTGCTCTTCAATAAGAACTGGTTCAACACTGCTCCTGCAGGTTTCATAAAAAGTATTTTTAGTGGACACAGAATTGTCATGATCAAGATATGATGAAGATTTTGTCATCGAGTTGCTTGACGTGGGAAATATAATTTGGCTAGGGAATGGGCCATTGCGAAGGCACAATTAAAAAAAGTACATTGGTGCGAGAGTTATTTGACTTAAAACTTATCGAATGACCGTGCTGTGTTCTGTAGTTTGGGTGTAACCGTCTCAGGTACTTGCATTCCTCACTGACCTTTAGAGGGTTCGTTTCGATGCCGAGTTGTGATACGCGTCGCTAAATATTTATCATATTGACAGAATTTACTCTCTTTTGTAATGGAGCAGCTTATAATATTTTATTACATAATATGAATTAAAATAGTCTCTTTTTTCGGTGAAATCGGTCCAAATAATTCTTTAATGGCTCATCTTTTCTTCCTTTAAGTATTTCACCAACCAGCATCTTCAAGTTGATCAAAGTTGTTAGAAACGAAAGCTGAGAGTCGGTTCCTTGCAGAAAATATTCGTCCCACAAGAAATGAAACGTTTTGTTCAGCTCATTTTGTAAAATAGGATAAGGGGAAATCGTAATCAATTAAAAAAAGCAATGACAAGCACCAGAAACAAGCTGAAAATAATTGGGAGTAGTTTGAATTTCTTTGCCGTTCGCCAAGATTGAAGAATTTTTGTGTACTCTTCGGTCAATTCCACATAATGAATTGATAAAATCAACATAAATTTCACTACTACAAGCTGATATACGACACGATGGTGAATAATTAATGTAAGCAGAAGATATTTAACGTCTTTCATTTTGCATTTACTCGCCTACCTATTCTGGGTTTGGTGAGAGATAGGAAACGTTTTCGCTCGTCAAGACCTTGTAACTCAACCAAGCAGTGGCAATATGTAGTTTTGCCCATGCACCTAGCTGGTTATTTTAGAATTATAATTTTGTACTTGGTTTTCTTTGCGTCTTTTCCTATGAAAACGCAAAAGTAAGGTTATCCTGCTCCCAGATATAACTGTGGATTTTTGAAATTCTGGTGGGGATTCTAAATGATTCAATTTCAGATTATGGAATTCTTATATTTCCTCCATTTCTATCTCTCCCTGTAAATTTTTTTTTGTTTTTTGTTTTTTTTCGTTTTAGTTTCCCACCACGAAACCAACCATTGGCGTTGAACGGTCATAGGAATTGTAGCTTTTTCTCTGTGAATGGAGGTTGAAGTTCACACAAATGTGCTTTAAAACATGTATTGGTATCCGTCTTTTAATTTTAGCACAGCATGCTTCTTAGTTTATTTTATATTTAATCTGAAAAGTTCGTAGTCTCTTTTATAAAAAGATATACGATTTCTTTCAGGTTCGTGAAATGGACTGGGTGAATGTCGTGTGGCCCCAACATCTCATCGAGCAACAGAGAGATTCAACAAATTCTTTAGCAGATATGAAGTATCCTAAAGTTAGAAAGTAAGTTTTTAAATTAAGGACTATTAATAACTCCTTGATATGTGGTCTGCAGACGAGTTATGTGCATGCACACCGGCGCTTATAAATTTGATTTGGCGGATTAGATCGATCTGAATCAGACCAATTTTTTCACTGAAATTGTCTGTTGTCCATACGCAAGTGACTATCATTCGTGATGAAAATATAGCACGTGCTCAATTGCATGATCATTTCTAACATAAATATACTGAACGTGAAAATTATTCACATCAATGAAATAACGATTTGATTTCTTTGATTCTTGTTCGTCTCAGGCGACGTTTGAAGATGGCTTTCGAACTTTTTAAATCTTAATAATGTGAACTATTTAATTAAATTTAGAGTTTTCTTTTGGAAGCTGAAGCTTTTGGACAAAATCAGTATTGAGTCCAGGCTGCCTAACTACTCTCAGCTGGGTTCGAGTGTGGTCACCACGCGCTGAACAGATTAAAGTACAAAGTCGTTTGAGATTTTCTTTAAACACGAAACGCTGCTTAATCGCAGTTCTTTTAAAGTGTAGTAAAAACAATCCTCCAAATCAGTCAAGTTAGAGACAAAACTCAAGCGCTCTTGCAACTGAACAAGATGAATATATTCAAATATCTGCGATCAACATGTATTGAATTTGTGCGCTCCATGTTTACTTTCGAAATGTGATTTTGTGTAACTCATAGGGTAACCGTTGGACTCTTTAGTGTTGTTCATTGTATGGTATTTAAAATATTGTTCAAGGAATAACACCTTGCCGTCGAAGCAGGTATTGAAGGACGAGCGTTTTCCGTTGAAATCGCTATGAAACGGCGGAAAACAAAGAACGAAATTAATTTTGAATTCAATCTGCATTCCCTGGTGAAATTTTTGCATTTATTTCCCCTTTCAAATGCTAAAAAAGAGAGGAAAAATCTTCATATAGCGTTCTTAGTTATGAATAGCATTGAGAAAATCTCTTTCGAGACTCTTCGCTTAATTTTGCTCTTCAATTTCGGGTAGAAATCCCATGTTGCAAGATTGCTTTATTGCGTGACTCTCAGGGAACGATAAACAAACTTCTGTTTCATCAACAGTGAACAGCAAGTTATTTTGTAACACGTTTCAGTCGCTTAAGTCCCTTTCAGATGTTACTGTCAAACTGCTGGGGAATGCGTTTTTGACAGTTGGGCTTGTTCGTCGTGAATAACTTTTTTGTGGTTAGGTTTGTTCATATTTTCTCTGCTTATGTGGTTATGGTCGACTGAACAAACCTTTACTGCGTTTTCGTGTCGTCTTCGTTTTGCTTTAGATCGACAAGGTCAGACTTTCCTTCGGTTCAAGCGCGTTGTAGATTGACTGTTTGAGCGATTACGTTGGTAGGGAAGCGATTTTTAAGCCGAAAAGGATGGACTGTCTACTCCAAAAGGCGAAGATAGACAAGTAGTTTCTTTACCTCAACTCTAATTGCTAATTCATTCCGCTGTATGCTTAGGAAAGATCACTGGAAACTGGATGCAAAATTTCATTTTTTCGAATCAAGAACGACAAAAAACACTTCACGGAAGTATTATTTAAAAGCATGAATTTCAACTCTTTGCATTCTGGTTCTGTGTTTTGTCAGTCTTTTAAAACGATTTCACCATAACAACAGACTCAAGTAGTTTGAACTTTGAGAGAAACGAAGGGTTAAAATGTTTAAAAAAATTCCACTATAGTCAATTGCTTTTTTAGAGGAGATAACTCCAATATTCTTTAAAAAGTACAATTTCTTTAAGCGAAGATATAAATTTTAACAGCGCCTAAGAGGAATAAAATGTGCAGCTTTGTGGTAAGAACACTCACTGTTCCGAATCAATACAGTGTGCTTTTGTTCAGCTGTAAACACAATTAGCACAACCTTTTCAGAACTCCACTTGGTGAACTTGTGTCTTAAAATTTGTTCATGTATTCTTCGACAGTTTAATCATGCCAATGTGTCAGGAGAATGTTGGGAAATTATTTGAAAAAAACCGGTCCCTCCTGAACATATTATGAAAATATTATGATCTCAGTGATAATTTTGATAAATGGAAATAAATAAATCTCACAAGAATCTGATGTAGACAACAGATTTTATCAGTTAATTGTTTGGTGTATTTGTTGTTTTGTGTATTTGTAGTTCGGTTCGACTTTTTGAAGGGTAAGTCCCTCTTCCAACCAACAAAAGTAAACCTGTAGGCAGGCAAGGGAAGTCTTTATTTTGTTGTGTATAAATATAACTTTGAAAATCTTCCTTCCTGATCGACGAAACATTTTCTTGTCCGGCAATACGGTCATTTGTTCTGCCCTCTCATTATTCGAGAGAATATTTCACTAGGCTTATTGTTCCTTCCTGTGATTGCTGTGATAAAAAACCTATCAATGATATTACTTTTAAAAAGTGCAAACTGCTTTACAAAGCAAACAGTTTGATACACGAGTAGTGAAGGAAGAGGTATCGCATTTAGAGACCAGAAAAAGCACAGAATGACAATTAATTCGACAATAAACAGGTAGTTGTCATTTTCGTGCGTTAAAAATGTAGTCCCATTATCTAGACTTTCTAGAATGTTGTCTTTTCTCAAAGGCGAACCAGATTGCAAAATTATCCCGACACGTTTGGGTGTCTGTTTTACCAAATGAACCATTTTGTGCACGAAGGTGGTAACTACCCTCTGGTAATCTTTGATTTTGGTTGGTTTGGTGAGAAGTTGCAACAAAAGCATGTCACAGCTGATGTTCAAACAGTTAATTGTTGTTTGTTTCTTTGAGAATAGATCTCTCTTAAAGCCCACGCTAATATCCAAGTCTTAAAATAGCCAACAAACCATCCTACCTCTGTTAATGCCCCCATCAAAGAAGCAATTCACTAACTGGTGCTTTATAAAAACTTGTTTACCCCGCCATAAGTTATCATGTAGAGTTGATATTTCAGATCAGACTGCCTTTTTTACGTCAACATTAGAAATCAATTGAAAAATGCCTCAGCGCAATTATTATTAATGTTCACAATACCTTCATTTAGCAAATCACAGAAAATTTTTGATGTCTGTGAATCGACTGAGATGGCGTAATTATTTGTCTCTAGGATAACCATGAATAATTATTCTCAGGGTTCTGCATAGAAAGAACAAAAGATGTTTGAACACTTTCAAAAAGCAAACCGTTAACTTCCCTTGCAGAATTAATTAAATGGCGCTTTGCGTGCCCTTTTCTTTGACCGATTCAGATTTTATTTTCATTTCAGCAGATGTAAATTTAGCCATGCCGCAAGTATTCACTTTCACGTGTTGCGCAATCCCCGAAACCTTTGTCTGGCATTGTTGAGAATCGAAGCTTCTCGAGGAATCCTGCAAGAATCTTAATAAGCAAAGTCACAGTGAAACCTGTATTTCAGTGCACTTGTGTTCAGGTGACACGTCCATTGAAAGGTCACAAACTTAAGTCCCGGCCGAAAAAAACATGCGCGGACACTTCTCTTCAATCAGTACCTTGTTAATATGTCTCAAAAGAGATATTAAACCCTCAATTATGAAACAAGAATTGTCAACAACAGAAATCCTCCCACGCGCCGTACAGCTATGGAGCAAAAATCGTTTCTGATAGAGGGCCATTTGTGTGGAACTGCTGACTACCCAAAAACGGAGTCTTTCAAACATAGCAGCTGAAGGAATCACTGGCTAGAAAGTCGTCCTAGTTTCTGACTCATTTTCAGTAGAAATTAACCCATTTTAGCGTTTTCTGTGGCAGTTTACATCTTTTTTGTGATAGTTTTACATATGAATCATAGGATAATTTCGTTTCAATAAAAGTAATGCATTGTATCTTCAGAGGATGCTTCACCTATTCGTGAGAGTTTCTTTGGAATAGAGGTTACGCTTTATTTGGGTTTAACTTGGAAGGCCTTTCTCTTACATTACTGAAGGTGTTTAGCTCACTTTCTTGTCTAAAAGTGACCCTTTTTTTTCCCCTTAATCAGGTACGTGTTGATGAGTGTTGGTGGCTGCTACACCGACTTTCACATAGACTTCGGTGGCACCTCAGTGTGGTACCACATAATGAGAGGCAGGAAGGTCAGCTATTTTGGTAGTTACACTTAAAACCTATGTGCTCTGCTTAAAACCAAAGGAAAATATCTCAGTGGGCCTTTGAGAAATCAGAAGAGGAAAATGAGATGAATTAATTTGATTGAATGAATTTGGTTTTGGTTCCTTATCTGCTTGCCTGGGAGTGGGGCGAGGGTTTTCTTAGACCAATCTTGAGGTGTAACCAAGCAAATCCAATTCAGTCTGGGAGTACTTTGTACTATCCATTCAACATTTCTCCAAATGTCTTTAAAGCGTGACTTTGTAAATCATGGTGATGTACCAGTGTTCATGAGTGTTGAGTCCTCATCTGGATCTTTGGTGAGACTTGTCACGTAGTTTTAAAGAATTACATGACAGATCTGCCTTGTCACTTAACACTTCTCTTCGTTTCGTGGAAGGAAGCTTATCTCATAGAGCGTTACCCGAAGAGTATCTTGCGTGTTATGCTAGCAAGACGAAAACATGCCCACTTTGTGCAAGACTTTTTTGCCTTTGATATTAACAATACCAACCGAAACATCCTTTGAACCATGTGTATGTATTTCTTCGAACGGGTTAATAATAGTAATACACTCCTACGTTGCAGGTTTTCTGGCTAATTCCACCCACTGAGAAGAATCTCCATTTGTACGAACAGTGGGTGCTATCTGGAAAACAACAAAATGTTTTCTTTGGTGATCAAGTGGAGAAATGTTGCCGCACTTATTTGGAGAAAGGAGATACGTTCTTGATTCCCACAGGTGAGAAGGAAAACACCACAAGGGGGTAAGAGAAAATGAGTCTCAAGTCATAATTTGGTATACGAAAATTCGATTTTGAGTATTTCTTTTTTGTTGTTGTTCAGTAGCTCTTTTACTCTTTTTTTTTTTATTTGTGACACAAACCCTTTGATCCCCAAGAGTGACTCGCATCTAACATGTCCTCACAAAATCACACCTGAATCACGCCTCAGGGTCACCAGAATAAAGCAAATAACCACCAACTGAAGAAGCTCTTGAATTTTGAACAAATTCTCCTTGTCAGCTTCTTAGGAAATGTATAGAGGACTGTTTGGAGAATATGCATATTGATGCAAGGGTGTGTAGGGTTAGCCTAAGATTTTTATTGGAATAAACTTTTTAAGTCTACAGTTATGGGGGTCAACAATACTGCAATTTCTACCTGACATACGAATGGATTATAGGCTGTTCAAATACAAAAGGAGGCCTACCCCCCCTTCCTCAAGAAGATAATTTGGTTTTATCAAGTGAGTTGATAATGTAAATTGGCTACCGTAAAGAGTTTATACAGTGGGCGATTTACATTATCAACTCAGTTGATGAAACTTAATTACCTTGTAAAACCCCTCACTGATGCAGCACAACACTTCCTTTAATAACTTACCCCTTCTACCCCCGGTAGTCTCACTTTTCTTTCCCAATGCGGAATTAATGTTACAGAGTGTTAGTTGGTCAGTCGGTCGGTCAGTCGGTCGATGATGAATTAAGGAGAGGGACTTGATAGAACCAGGTGGTAGAATCCACCTGAAGATAATTAATGGTAATATGAAGGAGAAAACTCTGATTCGGTTTGTAATCTTACGAGTGATTTAACAAGAGAGGGAGCTAACAGTGAACTTACATTATGAACAAACCGTGATCCAGCTCTTCAAGGAATGGAACACTTGAGGCGATAGTGAATCGCGTTTTATGTTGTTTCCTTCTCGGATGATACAAGCTTGACTTATGAAACTTAAAGCTTGCTCACCAAGCTTGACTTATGATCACTTTGTGATGTGTTTAGGGTGGATTCATGCCGTGTTTACCCCTGAGGACTCGCTTGTATTCGGCGGGAATTTTGTGCACAGTTATAACATCCCGGGACAAATTAAAATCAGTCAGATCGAAGACAATACCAAGGTGAGTGTAAATCTGTTGTTTATCTTAAAATGATATTCCTCACTCCTCCCGGGTCCATCTGTCCTGCTCTGCTGCCTTGGAGGCAGGTGGTATCGAGATGGAACAGAGCGAGAGAAATATAGAATGAGAACTTTCGTCATTGGGGTGGTGCCGCTATCAAAAACAATACATCATGGTGGTTTGTGTCCATGTTCAAAAACAACAAATTTCCTTTTCTAAGCTCCTTGTTGTAAAATTCTAAGTAGACTTTAAACCACTCCTTGTTTAGTGGCATTCCCTCATATTTATTACATGAGAGATTCGCCAGCCTTTTAATTACGGATGTAAAAACCAAGTCCAGGATACTGGTCATTATATATGGCTTGGAGAGAAGAAAGCGTCTTCACATGGAAGGAAATCTGACCATGTTGAAATTTACCCAATTGTGGGAGCCCCACATTGAAAAACTCTCAAATCTGAAAGATTCCTATTAAATCAGTAAGCAAAGAAATAAATTGGAAAGATTAATCTGGATTACTTACAACTTGGAGCTCCGAGCTTAGGTAACAGGGGTCAAAAGAAGCTTATTTATGTAGTTTGTATCAATGTCGAGTGGCCCTTGACAATCAGCGAAATATGTCATGTATTTTCCTTTTAATGCATTTTTACTGTACCGATGTCTTCAGTAGTTACTTTAGAATCAATTCGATTTAATAGTTTTTAACAAAGAACCTTTGAAAAGCTGCTATAGGATAACAGACTTCTTTTACGCAGGGAAAGCAGTTCTAGTCGTCGATAACTGATAGTTATTTATTTTTTGTGTGTGTGTCGCTTTTTCGGTTTTGCAAGCTTTTAAGACCGCCATAAAGTGATATTTACGCCCTGATAAGTGTTTCAGTGTAAGGAAAAAAAACACCTTGATATGAGGATAAGGCATCAGCCAACTGTAAATTAAAAACTCAAGTTATCGATAAAGCTGGTTTGCATAATTGGTACAACTTGTTACTCTTTCTACAGGTCCCTCTGAAGTTCCGGTACCCGTTTCTACCTCAAATCATGTGGTACGCCGCTGACAAGTATGTCCGTTTGTTGGAACAAAATAAAAAAGAACTAGGTTTGAAATCGCCCATCAAAACCGATAGCAAGGAAGTTACTTCCGCTTCAAAGAAAAAAGACGCATCTGGCTTGAAAGGGAAAACTTCTGGTAAACGAATAAGCAAGAAGGATCCACGAGAAGTGGACGAGAAAGCTAGTAATGGCACACATGGAGAAAATGATGAGGACGATACAACAGAGACTACAGGGCGTAGGAGATCAAGCCGGGTCGCGCGAAACGAGGCCATCGCTAAGCAAGCTCAGGACAACGCAGAGAAGAAGACCAGTACGAAAGGTAAAGAAGAGGAACCTGATACAGAGGAAGGGAAGAAAAAGAGAGGGAATCCTAAGCGACAAGCTAAGGACAAAGAGGTGAAGGTGGAAGTGAATGGGGAAACTCACGATGAAGAAGACGAAAAAGAGAAGACTGAGGGTGAAGGGAATGAAGAAGATAACAAGACTCCTTGGAGTCGGGTGTATCTTACACGATTTGAAGTTGATGGGCTGACTAAGCTGATAGAAAGACTGAGGGATTGGCCTCAAGCTCAAAAGAACGTTCCTAAGACTTTAGAGGACCCCGAGGGAGTGTTGCAGAGATTAGAGGTTTGTGCAACGTCAATCTAAAAAATATTGTTTTCAATGAAATGCCTATTTTTAAGCCATGACAATAAACATTAGATGGTACTTAAGTTCTCTCTCTTAGCTTGGTATTAGCTTGTATGGGTAGAGCGTTTTTTACAGAGTAATACCATTTCTCCATTTAGGACCTTCTTGAATTACATCGGGACGATGACCCTGAGCTTGCAGCTTCAGGGTTGCAACATCTGTTGCAGATTGACAAACCAGTAGTGGTAAGTAGAAATTGTGTCGTATGTGATCCAGCACCGTATAGGTTTTGCCTTGCTTAGCACTTTAGGGATCATTGCTAGTATCTGGGCAACTGCGCACATACCCCTCCCCTCATTCAACAAGCTTGTAATCATTTGACTGTTGTTGGCTTAGGGAAGGGGTAGGTGTGCAATCACGTGCATCAGTTTGTACTGGTAGAGACATAAATATGTTTTGTTTCTGTTTTAGAAAAAACCTGTAGCAAGGAAGCAAGGTCCTAGGGGACCGATGCTCGGTACAAAAGTCGGCCCAGGAATCAGACGCCGGCGCACTCGCTGCGGGCAGTGTGAAAATTGTCAACGAGAGGACTGTGGCGAGTGCCGTACATGTAAAGATATGAAGAAATTTGGAGGGGCAGGAAGGATGAAGCAATCGTGTCTTCTTAGAGCGTGCACTGACGTATGTCAAGTTTTAGTTATTTTTGATTAAGCGTACTAAAGTTTACTACCTTTAAACCCCGGGTAGCACTTTTGTACCAAACACGTCATCGAATTTGACTCGGTGAACTTATGGTTAGCAGTTCAAGGTAGGAACTGGAAGGTTTGAGTTCGAGCTCTGTGAAGGCTTACTGTGGTGTATCTGTGGGCAAGAAAGACAGTTTACTCTAACATTACCCCTTTCCACTCCATTGTATGAATGTGTCTAGGAAGGAGAAACCTGGTAAATTGCAAGGGTTACCTTGTGATGGACTCGCATCTCATCTGGGAGGACATGCAAAAACTCGTAGTCGCCTCTTGCCACCTTAACTGGGACACGTGCCTGCATCTAATGAAATAGGCTCGTGGTAGAGGATTGGAAAGTTATTGTCTAGTTGTTCTCTTTTCAGCCTAACCTGCCCACTTGTGTGAAGTGTTTAATGTGCAATCAGGTCAACACGGAGGATAATCCGCTCATGGAGTGTCGTTTCTGTGGTGAGATCGTTCACCCACCTTGTCTGAAAGACATCAAAGGGCTATGTAAGATTGTTACTGAGATCAATAACTGTTGGGAGTGTCCCAAGTGTTGCAAAGATGCAACGGTAAGTACTGATTTCAAAGTCTGCAAACTAAGAGTTGGATGAGCGATTTTCTTTGAGTGTCACTTGAACATTGTAGATACTGCTTTCTTCTTTCTTTACTTTGCGGAATGAGTTGTTTAGATGACGCCCGTTTTATTTAATCATCTAGATTCTTGTAAATTCCGTGAATGATTCTTCTTTCACTTCTCTGTCTCTCCGTCTCTTTGTTCATTTACTTTGGCTCTTCTTTTCCAGTTTGTCTGATTTGATGGATCGGTCGGTCAGTTTGTCGGATGATACGTGTCCGCTCGTTTAGGAACATCCGTTCTTTACAATCAGATAATACTTGGTCATATATTTTATGACCTCTCAGTAGTATATTATATCTCTCATAGGCGACGTCTGTCGATGATCTTCCAAGTATTCCAGCAAAGAAAAGAAAGGTAGTGTGAATTTGTACTGCTTAATAACCCTTTGACTCCTAACAGTGACTAGCATCTAATTTCTCCTTACAATATCACCCGCAAATCAAGCCAATTACCCTCACGAGAATAATGCGAATGATCAACAACTGTTAACCCTTCATCACACCCTAATATCAGTAAAGTTATTCTCCATTCATTCCCTAAGGTGCTGTCAAGGCAAATTTGTGTAAAAATCAACAGCTGCTTTAGCTGCTGATAGTTTTCTTTATTCTGGTGACATTACTGCATGATTCAGGGGTGATAATGTAAGGAGAAATTAGATGCTAAGCACTCTAAGGGTCAAAGGGTTTAACAAATTCTCCTTGTGGGTACCTTTTGAAATGTATAGAGATCAGTATGGAGAATATGCATACTGATGTTAGGGTGTAAAGGGTTAAAAGGAAAAAGGTAGCACGACTGCGAGGAGATACTAAGGAGATTGTTCGTTATAATTTACGGAAACTGTTCTTAAGAGAAACAACACAAATCAAAAGAAGTTAACATACATGAAAATAAGGTTGTAGCTAACAGAAGTTTTATTTTCGAATTCTTGTAATATATCTATATATACTTTTTTTTTGTCTATAGGCAAGTCCAATCAAAGAGTCTGCTAAAAAGGTACAGTAAATATTTCTTTGGCGCTATTCAAATCGCTACATGCACAGGGTTTCTATGAGCTTGGCTAACTTCTCAACGGAAGTTAATTGAAGGGATGCGCGTAATGAGTCCTTAGATAAATTTTGATGCGACATATACTTCTCTGTTTCATTAGAAAGTAGGGAACAATTTGGAAGGGAAAATATTTGTCTAGCAGAAGTTTCTGAATGTTTTTTTCCGTGCACCCTTCAATTAAACTTGGCTAGACCATTTTGTTTATGGGAAACAAGGCTGATCGCCCCCTTAAAGCCTTGTTACACATGATGCAATTTGCTCAGCTTTTTTATTTTTCTGTTGGCTGTAACATGTCAAAACACGTGCACGATTTCCATTTCCTAAGACTTGCTTCTACGCAATTGTACGTCGCCAACTGTTACTAAACCTTGGCGAGACCCTTCTTCATCAGATGTTGTTACATGTTTGTCAATTATCAATGAAACTAGTGCGGCAGTGAAACTTACAGCCACTTTACTGTAGAAGTTACCTTGTGAAAAAAAGCGTAGGCTCTTTCACTTCCACTAAATTTTATAAGTGATTCTTCGTACCTGCTGCCATATTAGCATTCCTGGTGGTCTTTTTTAATGGTAATTTGGTGTCGAATCTTGACAATACATATTAACTGATTTGGTTTTCTATTCCCTCTATCTGTCTACCTCGAGATGTACCAATGCAAGAAGACATTAGCTCACGTTCGTATTCTCTTGATTGATAATTTAAGGATAAGTAGCATGCATTTAAAAAACAAAATAAAAAACAAAAATTCAGAAAAGCGCTGTTCAAACTAATTGCTGCTTTGACATCGTTTCCATGACCCAAGGGCCCTTTTTGGGTCTTCGCTGTTGTGTGCTTCAACACTTTGTAGAGAGGGCGTTATGGCTCTCTCTAAAGTTCCATTCTACGCCGAATCACATGCACATGAATATGAAGGTAACGGAATAATGCCCAGTATGCGGTTGAGTCGCAATCGTTAAGAGTCTTCCTCTATATAAAATTTATTAAGTTCTGTAAATTTGATTGAAGCTCGCAAGGGCTATATAGTCGTCCGTACTTGTCTCTCTTTTACGTGGAAACCTTTGTAATCGTCGTAGAGTAATGTTTCGGTTGTAATTTTTTGCTTTGTCGTCATCTCATTTGTCATCTAATCCATCCTGTGGAGTAAACCTTGAAATTGTAAAACGCGCCAGTTGTCATTTTGGGATGTCTACTCATCGTCCGAACTAGACTATTATTATCGGTCGCCGAGTCGCTGCACTGCGTCTCTTTCTGTGGTCCGTCGGCTTCCACGAGAAGGGGTCTAGTACGTTCGGCTAGGATTTGAAATGAAGGTTATAAAATCGTCCAATAACTCACTGTAAAACTCGTTTCCTAATCGACAGGATGACCGAGCTCCAAAAGAGAAAATCAGAAAGGTGCCTTTAAGTATGTGTATCATTTTCATTTCGTTTTTGTGTTTGTCTGATCAGTGAGACATGAATTCGTTTTTTAATTGATGGCTCTCAGGCCATTAGACATGTCCATCAAGCCGAACCTTCACCAAGTTTGATGACCCCTTCTCAGGGGCCGTGAATGTAACTTTTTGAAGTTTGAAAATCGCTCGCATTAACCTTCTAAGTACTCATGTGCACACGTTAAAACTTCTTTTGTTTTCTTGCAGAGGAGCAAAATGGAGAGCGAGTCCTCAGACGGAGAAAGTGACGAGTTTTCTGTGAATGTTTCCGATGAAGTGACTTCACGGCCCCGCCGTCCTGTTGTAGTACCCAGACCTCCACCTGGCCCTCCGCCAGAAGTACATCCTAAACTCGTGGTTCGTCCTTGCCCAGTCTCTCCTCCTCCTCAGTCTTTCCCGCTGGACAGTGGTCAAAGTCACGTGATGGACTGTCAGCTCTGGCTTTCAGTGTTTAGCTTTCTCTCCCAACCCGAGCTCTGTCTGTGTATGCGCGTATGTCGCACCTGGAACCGCTGGTGTATGGATCGCCGTCTCTGGTCAGTGATCGATTTATCAGAAAAGAAAGTTGTGACCCCTTCGGCCCTGAGGGGGATTGTACGGCGCCAACCTTCAACTCTAAACCTGAGCTGGACAAACGTTACTTTTAAGCAACTGCAATGGCTCCTGAACCGTCTGCCGAGAATAAGAGAGCTTTATCTGAGTGGCACAACGGAAGCGACGGCGTATGCGCTTTCCACTGTCATCTGCCCTCGTTTGAAAGTCCTGGGGCTGAGCTGGTCCGTAGGAATCACTGACTCACTGATGAAAGAACTTATTTTACCTGTTTCTGACTCACTTACGGCTCCAGGGGACAACAAAAGCCCTCTTCTAAGATTATCCACTCTCTTTCTTTCCGGTAGTGACATCACTGGTTCGACTCTTCGTTTGCTGGTGCAACATTGCCTTGACTTGAAGAAGCTGGACCTGAGTTTCTGTCCCGGAATAACTGATCAAGATATTGAAAGTGTCTGTGGACAGGCATCGATAAATGAATTTCTTCTGAGTGGCTGCGCTAAGCTGTCTGATAAGTGCTTGTCCTTTTTGAGGCTCTTTCCGTCGCTTATCCGTCTTGACTTGCGCTCTTGTAATGGGGTCACTTCCGATGCCGTTCAAGAGTTTGTAAAAACTCGCAAGGATTTGCTGAAAATTCTGGAAGGAAAACTCATTGTAAATATATAAATACGACTGGCTGTTATGCCCTGCATTGGCCTAACCTCTGCTTGGTCTAACTCAAAACCTAAGAACGTTTTCTTCAGATACACCAACCTTCGCACGCCCATTCGTATCGTTCCTAAGCATTCATTCCTACGTTTTCTTTGTTGGTTGTGTGTTTTTAGTATCACTTACATTTTCACTCATTAAGTTCAGTTCGACGTAGGAGGGGTTATATTACTGTAAGATGAAGACAACGATCTTGGCGAATTTTTTTCTGTTTTGTTTTGTTTTATTCGTTAGCACAACAATTTGTTCAACCTAATTATTTTACTTCGAATTTTTCCTCTCAAAGTATTTTATTTTCCTTGTACTGTAGCTTGTGTACCATCCTGTCCTTATGCGTCCATTTTATTTTCACAATGCCGGACTCGTGTAAGCGCAGGCCATCTTTCGTCGAGAAAAACGTTTACCTCAATATTCAACTCTTACTCCTAAAGAAAGTTTGCCACACGCTTATAACTTAAGGAGAATTACAAAGAATGTTTTTGTGCCTGGGAGCTTTTTCATCATCGTAAATGTTTAGGCTCAGTCATGTAATTTTGCTTATTTCTTTTAATTTTGTTTGTTTTTTTGTTTTGCTTTTTTCGTGAAACTCGCACAACTTTTAGGGGTTTATAAAATATCGAATTGTTACCCCTTGAACTTAAAAGAAGGTGGTTGGCTGTATTTTGAGCCTTTTCAGTAGACAAAAGACAGTTTCAGATAGTTGACAATAGTTAGGTAAACTAATACTGTTTGAGATTGAACCATACTCTTTGTCGCTTTTTTTTTTATATCCAGGAGAAACAAACGTCAAATATCAAAACTAAGAGAGCAATAGTTCAGAGATGATCAGCATGAATTGGATCTTCTTTGAAATTGTTTGAGACAACTGCTTCAAAAGTGGGACATATTGAGAAAGAGCAAATGAATACCAGACAACTGCATTCATCTTTTTAGCTTTGTTTTCCTAGGTGCCTATTCTTAGAGTTTTCTCTCCTCCACTGCCATGTTAGCTTGCACAATAAGTTCTTCGTCCAACAACAGCTTCATAGTAGTGTCGCCATCAGAGAGGGATAGGTGTTCGACACATTTAACGAACGTTCTAACTCCTTTTAGTTCGTGATCACTGGAAAATATTGAAATGAAACTAACAAGCTCACGCATTTTTATTTTTTTGTAGTTTGATTACAATGTATTCCTCGTTCTATGCGGGTCTGATGACGATTGTTAAGGTTTTGTTATTTAAAAGAAAAAATACGATGGACTCGTAAGACATGCAGTTACCTAAATCCTAATGCATTTCGACCAGCTTTGTTAACAATTTTTTGAAAATTGTATAGTTTTAATGACAGCATTTTTTTACCAGGTTACACATATAAAGTTACAATGAATTATTAAACTATAGGAATTGCGGTAAGGTTAAAAGTTTGGTTTGATGACAGTTGTACCTTGATTAAAGAAGGTTTCGCGCAAATGCAAGTTGGTTAGAGAACGTCCTTCGTCACGCGACCCAACTCAAGCCCCCCTCGTCTTTTTTATTCCACAGCAATTATCGGGCCTCGTATCACTAACAAAACGCCTTGAACAGTCTACGACGAATTTATCAAGCCATTATCATCAGTACGTCCATGTCTTAATCAGTTGCGAACTTTCACGTGGGAGTGGATTGCAAATCAGCGTTAGCCGGCTGAAACCATTCGTGAGATCCTGTGCACGAATGACGTTCATGTCACTTTCAAGCTTTGGCCTCCTGCGCCGTTCCGAACGTTTGTCATTCATAAGAGCAAATTCGGGGTGTGTGGTTTGTTTTTTCATGGAGAATGTAGTTATGCGCTTTGAGTAAGCACTGAAAGTACTCTAGCCTATGGAGTGAGCACTGATTCCCGGCTTATGGCACATGTGGAATGATTCGTAGAGGTGCTCTTCTACTTCCGGTGTCGCTCCTCGTAATTAACTTTTAAATATGCATTAGTCCCTAATCCAATAACCGTAACATCTTTGGAGTTTGGGTGTTTCGATCATCGATTATTAGTCGATTAATATTCTTTTTGGAAACTTACACGTAGGAATATACCACATTCAAGTCACAATTACAGCAAATCTGAAAAACGTAGTTCATCGTAGCTAAGTGTTGCACACCTCCTGCCGGGTCTAAGAGAACCTAAAGAGTTGTCTAGACGTTACTCAATTGAATTGAAAACCTAAACTTACCTATCGGTCCTCGAGATGTGATGTATCGCTGAAACCACTGAAAAAAATAATATTACATGGTCACGGATTCCGTTCACCTTAAACTCCATTCGGTCCTTTCATCACTGCTCATAGATCGCTAGTTATCACCTTTCAGTTTATTATCTCTTGCCTCCTATTACATCTATTTTTACGCTCTACAGAATCGGACCTTTCCCTTCAACGAACCGTCTACGTCTTTTCTTTTCTAAGAAATACTAATCCTGTCACTAAGGCCCTAAGAAGTCAGAAATACATCAAAACATGCCCAATTATGTTGCCTCATTGGTCAAATTTTGAGTGATTTTAAGATTCTCTTCCGCTTGAGGCGGCTTGAAGTGGTTTCGTTTAAACTTTTCTTTCTTTCGTAATTTTCCGCTATCTCCAAGTCTCGCCATGGATATCAAAACCCTACTAAACAATCTTCATGAAGAGGTCTCCTGTTCTGTGTGTATGAACACATTCAATGATCCGAAAACGCTGCCATGTTTACATGCCTTTTGCCTGCATTGTTTGAACGAGATTCTTCGAACGAGTGGCCGCCACGATATCATCGCATGCCCTGAATGTCGGAAAGAGATTCATGTTCCTAGAAGTGGAAATCTTCAGGATCTTCCAACTAACTTTCGCATCAACAGTCTCCTTGACGTGTTGGCTATCAAAGAGTGCAGTGTTATTGGAGTTAAGTGTGGAAATTGCGAAGAGAGCAGCTCCCAAAGCTTTTACTGTTTCCAATGTTGTGCTTTCTGGTGCGAAGCTAACTGCATCAGTCTTCACAATGGAATAAAAGCGAATAAGGAACACTGTGTATTAGCGCTCAAAGACTTTAAAGACCAAGATTTTGAAAATGTTTTGAAGCGACCGGTATTTTGTCGCAACCGTGGCCACGAAAGTAAGGAATTGGAGTTTTTCTGCAAAGATTGCCGTGTTGCAATTTGCCATTCGTGTGTTGCCACTACTCATGACCGTCACGCTAAGATGCTATTGGAAGAAGCTGCAAATGAACAAAAATTACAAGCAATGTCTGCGATTGAAAATCGGAAGAAAACAGCATTGAAGAAGAGGCGGAAAATTGCCCAACTTGACTCGGATTTTGCTAAAATTCAAGAACATGTCGCCAGTGTAAAGAAAGGCGTGCAACAGTTTGTCGACAACATGATGGCTGTTATCGAGGCACAAAAGCAAGAAACCTTTGATGACTTAGACAACAGAGCTGCAGAGTCCATGCATCGCCTGAGGATACAAAGAGGTGAGATTGAAAAACAAGTGAAAATAACTGAAACAGGCATCGAAGCTGCTGAGGCAATTCTGCAACGGAACATTAGCGCTGAAATCATTCAGTCAAACAAAATTATAGAAGAAACATTTCAGGGTCAAGTTGAGCCAGCTTATCCTCGCATTGGAAATCAAAGCATTCTAGATTTTGGATTTGTGAGAAATCAACGATTGTTTGATCATGTATGGACTAACAGAATTGGCTTTGTGAAAGTTCTACCGACAAGTCCGACTGAGTCGAGCGGCTTCGGAAAAGGAATCAGTGAACCGATTATTGGCCTAGAAACAAACATAATGTTGACAACAAGAAATGCTAAAGGAGAACAATGTTATGAAGAACGTGACTATGTAACAGTGGAGATCAAAAATCAGGATGGCCATGACTGTGCAACGGAGACTCGAGTCCTGGATAACAAAGATGGTTGCTACAAGATCAGCTATTTTGCTAAAGAAACCGGAAAATGCCGTGTGTCTGTGAAGGTCAATGGAGAGCACATTCGTGACAGTCCCTTTACTGCTGAAGTAAAACCCAGACAGATGAGACCCGTGTTATCCTTCGGAAAATATGGTGCGGCCAAGGAAGATTTTAGATATCCCTGGGGAATAGTAGTAAACAAACGCGATGAAATTGCAGTCGCTGGCAATGGTAACAACAGGGTCCAGGTATTCAGTAGTGATGGAACTTACTTAAGATCATTTGGGTCTAAGGGGGATAAAGAGAGAGAGTCTAACTCGCCTACAGGGATTGCAATCGATAATGAAAACGGAATCGTTTTTATAGCAGATACAGAGAACCACCGAATTCAATTTTTCAGTGGGCAGGGGGAGTTTCTGAACAATTTTGGTGAAAAGGGAAATCTTGATCACCAACTCGAGTTTCCCCACGGGTTATCCTTCGGTAGTGACGGAAATTGTATTGTGGCTGATACCGGAAATAAGAAAATTAAATTATTTTCCCGTACCGGCCAGTTTCTCCGTAGTATAGGCTCCGAGGGTTCTTTCACAGTACCCATTCACTGTATCCAGTATAAGGAATATCTTATAGCATCAGACTTTAATGAACACTGTATCAAAGTTTTTGACAAAGCTGGAAATTTTCTGTACAAATTTGGAAAGTATGGAACAGGAGACGGGGAGTTCAATGGACCTTACCATTTGTCAATTAACAAAGCTGAGCACCTGATGGTCTGTGATACAAACAATCACAGAATTCAGGTGTTTGAGGTGAATGGAAAGTTTGTTGGAAAATTTGGCTCAAAAGGAAAAAAGGTAGGACTATTTACTGGACCATTCTCTATAGCAGTCCTCAGTGATGGTAGGATAGTTGTTACTGACTTTCACAATCATAGGGTTCAGATATTTGAGTAGCCGTATCCTCTGTTGTCTTATAATAGTGTTATGATAGTGTTATAATAGTAATATCATTAATCTTTCCGGTTCTTTAAACATTATTGACTACATGTGAAAGCTTCTTGTTACATTTGTAGGTTGAAACTTGTTTTTTTCACAATGTTTTACGACATTCGCTCCAATTGTAGCCAAGAAGATTACACGCACAAACGAGTTACAATAGACATAGCTCTATATCCAGAGAGTTGAGTATTAATTTCATAAAGGTTTGTTAACTATATTAGCTTTTTTTCTGAAAGAGAATTTAGTTCGATAATTTGTCAGTTTACAAGACTCGATTTGGCGATTCATTATGTACTCTTTGAGACTGACTGTTCACCTCTGAGGTAGTAGTTAGTGGTCAGGGAGTGGATTTTTTCTGATTTTGTTGTTGTGTTAGTTGTTTTTGGATTTGATCAAATTCAGTGCGAAAATATCTCTCTAATAAGGAGGGATTTATTCTAAGATCACAAACTTACTGTCACAAACCTACCGTCTATTGCACCTATAAACCCATAAAAAATTGCAAGTTCATTTTTTTAAAAGCAGTAGACTGCACTTTCTGTCATTAACTGGTGAAATAATACTAATAGATCACTAATATAATAAATCACAAGCTGGAGGCGAGTGACATGTATATAAACTTTTCTTGTCATCTTACAACATCATACATGGGTCATTATGTAGGTAAACCGATATAAGGTGCTGTGTCCTTATTAAATGGAGCCTGAATAGGAGACTTATGATATCCGTCTGTGTTTTACCCAATATTGGTGGAATGGCAAATACTCACCAAAAAGGCACCCAAATTGTACATGATTCTCCTCATGAAAAACTTCACACGCGCATTGAAATTGAATGGATTTTCTCAACTGGTCTTGGAACAGCTCTCTTTTTAGCTGAGATTACAATACCGTTGGGTTAAGTTTTACAATTACAGTAAGCCTGCAGCAGTAGCTGCTTCTGTGGTATTAGTAACAGTATGCATTGTGTTTGTATGGTTTGCTGTGCGTTTTTACTGATCTCTTGTCCAATACAAATAGATCTTTTCAGGGAATTGAAGAACTTTAACAGATTGCAAACCAACTGTACACAGATACAAGGACGGCATTCATGTCCTAATCCCGGCCCTTGCGAACTGAATTCCAAGTTTTCTGGGAATTCCTAGGAATTCTCAAAAATTCCCAATTATGCAAATGACCCTTACAAACTGAATTCCCAGTTTTCTGGGAATTCCTAGGAATTCTCAAAAATTCCTAACTATGCAAATTAACTCTGATTTAAAAAGCTTGGAATTACTGGGAATTTCTGGGAAAGGAAGACTCCAGTTTTGTGAGGACTTGGAATCCCTAGGAATCCCTAAGAATTCCTAGGAATTCTTAGCTTTACAAACTACCTATAATTTAAAAAGTGTGGAACTCTTGGGAATTTCTGGGAATTGAATTTGAGGCAATTTTAATATCCTGAGGTCCACATAAATTCTAAGAAATTCTCAATACCTTGAATGTGAAGGTTTTAAGAAAAAGAGTAATTTCAGAGGCTTAAAACTTTGGCTCAATAAAAGGTATGCTATACAAAACTTACCAAGATACATAATACATGTACATGTTTATAACTTAAAGATCATGAAATTTATTATTCAAACTAAGTTTTAGTAAATCTTTACATTAATATGGATTTTCTCATGAACCAGCTGTCAGTTATGTTAAATGGAAATTGCCAACTCCCACAATAATTAACAATAATTACATTGTTATCTTACTTCCCTAACCTACATTACTGGTTGCCTTTGTTAGAAAACCTTGGAACAGTCAAGCTCAGTTGCCTCAAACGCTGTCAGAGACTTGTTGACAATACTTTTAGTAGAAATTTCATGCCTTAGACAAACAAATTCAACTCCTAATTAATCTTTCTTTTTTCATGATTGTTGTTGCTGCTTTTTTTTTCAGTTTTTTGCTCTATTTTCATGACTAATTTCTGTAATTTGTTTTGCTGTTTTTATTCTTACAAAACATTTTTGTAAGAGTTCCAATACTTGTGGATCATCCACACACTTTGCAAACATTTGGCATACAGACAAGACAGAGGTAGTCAATGAAAATATTTGTCAACAAGACTTGTTGGTAGTGAGAAGTACCAACCAAGTTTCCTTTCATAACTTAATTTCTTAAATGTCCCAATCACTGGATCTCCCAAAAAATATTACATCTTTTTATTTTTGGTGCAAATTACAAGTCCTTCTTTATATAAAAATGAAAAGTGCTAGTCACACTTCAATAAAAACAGCTCTTAAGTTTACTTGTCGTTCTTCTCTGTCTGTCAACTATCAACAAAATGGTTTTATACTTCGGGCAGTGCATAACTATTTGTGGACCAGAGTTCCAACGCACCTCTGTAATCGCATATAGCTACTTCTGTCTCTTGTACAAATGTTTCTCCTATGTAAGACGCACTCTACTCTGTTGTCACCACTGCTTCAAGTTCAGTGGAAACGACTGACTGAGGAATCGAGATGGCGGTGTTGGAACGTGTTGCTGAACGCTTGCTACGGTCAAGCTTTGTAGATTTAGGTACTGGTACACTGGGATCATCTATGTATCTCTTATACTTCCGAATGTGGTATCCTTCTTTTATAAATATGAGGGTAAAAGACGATTTGTAGTCGCATTCAAAACTGTGATTGGCTTGTTATTTCTCACCTTTGCCATGAACACAACTCAAGTGAGTTTCGAGTCTTTGTTTCCTCGACAACTTTCAGCCACAAATCGTGCATTTGTAATACGATCGATTCTTGTCGATTATTTCTACATAGAGTAAGCTCACATCTTTATTAATATCACCAAGGTATCCATCTTCTAGAAGCAGAGAACCGTTCGGAGAAGTCAGAATAAAGTTGGGCGCTTCTCTTAACACTGCAATCGGCAAGCCAGCGGATTCACTTTGCTAGCCAATGACAAGTCCTAAAAGATCCACGTGATCATGCCCGTGATCGGAAACAAAGAAGACTCCATTTGGCGCTTATCTTTGAGTGTACTTTTCATCGGTTGATCGCTTTTCTCAACTGTTTTGCTTAATATAACATTTCTAAAGATAGCTTTTATTGTGGTTCAATGGGAAAACGAGAATAGCGTGAGTGTTGTAAAAGAAAAGAAAGTCGTTGGCGCCGTGGAGTTAAAAGAAGGGAAAACAGTTGACGTATTGACTGGTACAAACAAGGGTCGAGTGGCCATCTGTAAAGCTACGATTTTGAAAGTTTGTGGTGAGTAAAAATTGCGATATTCGTTACGTGATCAAAATCTTATAAAAGAATAGATGTAGCGGGTTGAATTAAGCTTACATAACGCTCGGCGCAACTGAAACTAGAATAATTCTGAGAATCGAATCGGTCACTTGCATGCCGCAGTTTCTTAAGCTTATGCTTTACAATGAAATAAACTTATCAGTAAGGTTTCAAGATTCCTCTAGTCACGTTTGGGAAAATTCAAGATTCATAATAGGAACTGTTATTAAACAAACCTTAGTACATAAAGAAGCCCTCCTTGGTAAAAACAAAATAATGTATTCAGCCCTTTTTTAGTAAAATCCATGAGAGAGATGTACTAACTCCAATATAAAAGTCACTCAATATAACAGAGATTTCTCAATTTGAGAATCCAATGAATGCCCTTTTCCTCATAGCCATCTTAAAAGCCTGGTCTGAGCTTTAAATATACATATTTTAATATATTATTTTTTTCAAATTCAGATGTCAAGGAATCCAGATACAAAATGGTCAAGGTTCTTGTAGACAACCTCATTCAAGGCCAACTCAATGTGAGCCCAGGAAAAAAAATACAAACAGTACAAACAGCAGCTAAGTTTGCAGTTTAGGATAACTTCATTCTAATTTATTGTTACAGTTACAACAAGATTTTAATCAAAAAATCAATTTTATTTGTCTGTAATTAGCCCCTTCACTCCCAAGAGTGCTTGGTTTTCAGATATAACTTAAGATATTGTATTTTATGGAGAAGAATCAACAGATTTTATTCACAATTTGTGTCAAACAAAATTTAATGATTGATTAGAACTATTTAATATGAATAGCTGTAATTGAGGATTAATCCGTATGAAGTTTTCAAGAAAAGAAAAATAAATCAAATTCCATCCTAATATTACCACACATTGATGTTAATAATTAATCAAAAATATTTTACATGTAAGCCTTAATTAAGCTTCTAAATAAATTTCATTGAATACTTGAATTTTAGCTGGGTATTTTTAATTTAAAGTATTTATTTTATATCATTAGCCTCAATTTTTGCTTAAAATTCCCAGTAATTCTTAAACATTCCTAAAAATTCCCAAAAATTCCCAGAAATTCCTAGGAATTTTTTAGATTTACAGCTTTTCAGGGAAAGTCATTGGTTCTCTGAGTTGGAATTCCTAGGAATTCCAAGTCCTGTTGGCTATAAACTTGGGATTTCTGGGAATTTCTGGGAATTTCTAGGAATTTCTAGGTTTTTAGAACTAGAGTTGTTATGGTTGGGAATTCCCAGTCCGAATTTACCGTGAAAATTCACACCTTTATTCCAAGAATTTCTAGGAATTCCAAAAGCCATTTCGCAAGGGCGGGGTTTCAGATAGTTTTTACTTCACAAACCTGGTGTGTCATACTTTTTATTGGCATGCTCCTTGTTCATACTGCACCTTCCAAAATCTAATTTGCAATCCTCCCTTTTTCTGCTTCTCTGTTCCTTCCAAATTGTTAAGATAATTTTTTTCAAGATAATTTCCTTTAGCATATACATTATGTTTTCTTATAACCTTTTTTCTGGATAACTTATTGAAACTGTAAAGGGAAGAGACTTGATATGCACTTTTGGAGGGAAAGGTTACAAATTGATGTAAAACAATAGAAACTCTTAGAAGTGATAAACATATAACTTTACCTAATGATGTCCGCACATTATCCAGCAAACAGGTAATGAGAATACTCAAGCTTATCAGGAAGAAGTGTTACCTTGATCTAAAATTAAAAAACCCATAAAAAATTACAAGAAAATGTGTGGCAGGTAGAGGGGAGAATTAACAATCAGATCTTGGGAGTTAAGGGGTTAAACTACCACCAGTATTACCAGTGTGTTGTCATTGTTGGCTATAATAAGTGCATTGTGATTTTATTTGCTCTGTCTTTTCTGTGGGGTCCTTTTTTTTGTATTAATGTGGAATAGTAGTAAATTATTGTAAATTGCAATCTTGAGTGTTTTATAGGACTAGGGGTTCCCATTTAACACTTAACCCTTTAACTCCCAAGATCTCATTAGTAATTCTCCTTACTGTCTGCCATATAGTTTTTGTGATGTTAGTTCAGAGAATTTAGTATTGGATCAACTAATAATTCCCTATTATTTCCAGAGAGTTGAGTATTAATTTCATAAAGGTTTGTTAAATATATTAGCTTTTTTTTTCTGAAAAAGAATTCAATTTGATAATTTGTAAAAGGATGTTTACAAGACTCGATCTGGTGATTCATCATGTACTCTCTGAGATTGACTGTTGAGCTCCAAGGGAGTAGGTAGTGGTCAGGGAATTAAGAATTTGTTCATGCTTAGCGTGCGTATATCGAGTTAGGGATGTACGCGGGAAGTTTGGAGAGCACGAAAATGCGTAGGGGTCAAGCAACTCTAGCTTTTTTAGTGCTCTCCAAACTTCCCAAGTGCATCCATAACTCGACATACGCACAGCTAAAAGCATGAGCAAATTCTTTTATAACAGAGCGACAACAAGGATCTGCGCGAAGAAGCCTTTCATTATGATAAAATTCTCAAATTTAACGCCGAAATGTCTCTAACAAAGAGAGCTTTATTCACCATGTGATTATTTTATCATTTTTAATTTTCAGAGATGAATTTGAACTACTGGATTTGTTTGCATTCGAACAAAATTCTTTCAGTTTGGGATAAAATTAGTTTACAGACTCAAAACTCCTTTTCATTATACCAAGACTGCAAACTGAAGCCGGAAAACGTTGCACTTCTGTATCAGACCTTGTTTTAAATAATTTGTGCTCTGTTAGATCTGAATTTCTTTTGCGATATTACGTTAGGATCATAAGTAAGTTTATTAAGAGCACTTCCTGTTATTATTCTAACATATTTTATATCTACTACTTTTGTACTTTTTTAATTACAAAGATTGCTTAATCACCAGCAAAAGTCTAAAAGGAACTTTCTATGCACACAATCCCTTCACTTAAATGACCAATTGTCATTCCTCAGACCTGATTGTAGTCATGATGGGATGATTAAAGTTCGCGCATGTGAAACATATGAAGTTCCTTTAAAGATTTAAATTTAGCGGTAAGTACTGTAACGTTTGTAATGTTGTTACGAATAAATTTGGCCTCTTTAATTGCTTCGCCAGTTTCATTGATCACGGAAGGGGGGCTGAACAATCCTGAGAAAACGAAGTTTAATGGATCAAAAATATGAGTTCGAGATCTTGTGTTGCTGCATTCCACTTTAACGTTGGTTTTTCGTCAATAGTGATTGCATTTGTCAATAGTGATTTACATTTTGTTAGAGCTCGGTTGAAAAACGTTCGAAATCAGCGCCTTTCAGTTCCTGTCTCGCTGAGTTGAGGAGCATCAGCCAAAACTGGAATATTTAAATCTAAGTCTTAAAGCTAAATCCAACCAACTTCAGTTGGAAGCACAATAAGTATCCAATATATATAGACTTGTCTGGATTTCCCCGCGTCAGTGTTAGATAATATATAGAGCTGAAAATTAATATGATTGTATTTTGATAGTAATGCATGTCGTCATTCCTGATTTTACCCGAGCGGTCAATACTATCCAGGTCACATTCTGAGCGGAAAATCCTATGAAGCTGAAGGGTTGTTTATTCTTTCGTCACTTTTCCACGACATGAATGGTGGTTCTGTCACCTGGTGCTGTAACAGGTCAAAAACATCTCTTTCGTCGCAATCATGTTAAAGTTGGATTTGTAAGTTCAGAATCAATTCATGTGAAAACTGAACAGCATAAATTTCGCTCATATACTCGATTGACTTGTGGGCTGAAAGTCAAAATGATGACATTTTAAAATAGCATTTTACGAAACTAAAAGGTTTCGCTTGTGATGATTTGGTTTTCAGACTCGAGAGCAGGTGCAAGCCATTCTTTTTCAGGGTGAAATTGCAATTACTCTTCAACGATTTCTCTTCAACGATTTCTCTTCAACGATTTCTCTTCAAAACAAGCAAATATTGGGAAATTATTCCCCTACAAGAAAGCACATCACGTTGATTGGAACTTTTCTAGTTTCTCTGAATATTAACGTATCCCACACGAAATTTCCAAATGATGGTGGCGCTTGTCTTTAAGAGCAGCATATCCTGTGTTTATTAATAAGAGAGTTTTTCAAAGAAGGTATCTGATTGTATGTACTTGTTCTAGACATCTACGAAATATGAGTGATGTTTTCACTTTTTGTTTTAACGTCCATATTATTAAAGGCGTGACAACACCTGTCACGCAATCACATTCACGTCGATTGGTCAGCGGGTATTACGCCAAAATAAAACACGGCCATGAAGTATTTAAACTCCATAGAAGTCGCCTCGAACAGCGAATGACATCCAGGTGGTAATCAAAAATGGGATATAGCTAACGTAAAGCGCGCAGAAGAAGAGTGGAAAGTTGAAAGCATCAAGTCGCACATCGGCTTTGACGTCAGGTTTTGTTATGGTAAGTGTTTTAATGCTTCTAATTTTCTAACTCTAGGAAACAGAATACGGCTTAATTGAATGTTTGTGATGTTTATCACAGAAAATGAGCGTGTGAATCTTTATGGAATTTTTTTATTAAGAGTGCGTTTAGTTATGATTGTAATTAACTTTTATGTGTTAATTCTGATTGTTTATAGCAAGTCCTTGTTGTTGTGAGAAATTTACCTTTTCCACATTTGCATAGCGGTTTTATTTTTTCTATCCGTTGCGGATAGGTTAATGTATTTGGACTAGTTATTAGATCTTTGCGTGATCTTTTTATGATGCGGAAGTTGAACATTCAGTTTTATAATATGGCAGAGATACTACGAGCACCCTGATTGGTCACAAACCTATTGTTTACTAAACCAGAAAACCCATAGAAATTTAAAGTCTACTTTTTTTAAAAGCAGTAGACTACTCTTTCTATCATTTACTAGCATACTTATGGAAGAATACACAAGTTTGTAAATCATGATCTGGAGACAAGTGATTTACAAACTTTTCATGTCTACTGACAGCATCCTATTGGACCAATAGAAGGGGCTGTCTCTTGCTTAACCCTTTAACTTCCAGAATTGATTAACATGCAACTTCTTCTCTAAAATATCCACACATAATTCAGCAAACATGTAAGGAGAATAATCAAAATTATCAGGTTAAAGTTGTTATCTTGAACTAACACCAAATTCTCATAACCAATTTACAAGGAAATGTGTGACAGCAAAAGGGGAGAATTAACAATCAGATCTTGGAAGTTAAAAAGATTAAATGGAGCCAGGATAGGGGATGCAACCTATCATGGGTTACATGAAGGGATACTCTGTCCTATGGAGATACAATATTTTTAGCCAGATATAAATAGGGGAGTAGGAAGCTCATTTCCATATTCCATCATGTATAATGGTCATCTGGTGCCCTTGAAGAGAAAGTGGTAAGAAAATGTTACTGCTGTGCTTAATGACTAGACTTTTCATGGATAGTTACTCAAAGGAGGGTGTATTCTAGCGGTTTTATTATGTTTGGGTGTTTAATGTAGCACCTTTTTGGGAAAAAAGAATTGAAAAGGAAAAGGGTTTTGAGCATAGGGAAGAGTATCCATATGTATATGCAAAACTTTAAATTATTGTTGCTGTATTATCCTTGGACAGAACACTTCAATGTATTTTCTGTTCTTTCAGGACCTTTTCCCTCTTTAGGTAGCCATGGTGGAAATTCCAGTAGAACCAGGTATACCAGAAGGACTTTTGATAGCATTCAGTGTAATGACTACCATACTGATCTCAGTTCATGTCTTTGCACTTATGATATCTGTCCATATTTTGCCAAATATTGATGGTGTGGCAAATTTTCATCAACAAGGCACCTAAATTGAATGCAATTCTCCTCATGAAAAACTTCACACACATTGAAATTACATGGAATTATCTGAACTGGTCCTGGAACAATTGTCTTTTTAGCCAAGATTGCAATACTCTGTTGGGTGAAGTTTTACAATTAAAGTAAGCCTGTGGTAGTGGCTGCTTCTGTGGTATTAGTACTGGTATGCATTGTGTTTGTATGGTTTGCTGTGCATTTTTACCGATCTCTTGTCCAACACAAGTATGAAAGATCTTTTCAGGGAGAGATCTTTCTCAACAGATTACAAACCAACTGCACACAGATACAGGGACAGTACCAAGCTCACCAGCAGGCAGTCCATGTCCTAATCATGGGGTTTGAGATTATTTGTATCGCAAAACCCAGTGTGTTACACTTTTTATTGGATGCACCTTATTCTTACTGCACCTCCCAAAACCTAACTTGTAATCCTCCCTTTTTACTGCTTCTCTGTTACTTGTAAATTGTTAAGAGAATTTTGATACCAAAATAATACCCTTTAGCTTATATGTTGTGTTTTCTTGTAATCCTTTTTCTGGATAATCTATTG